GACCTCTTGATTGCTCTCTAATGCCTTCTTTTTTTCTGGGCAACAAGTTTTGTTGTACAGCAGTCTCTGCATGCAGTAAATGGAATATAATTAATAAATAAATGCATCTGAATAGTTTTGACCATCAAGAAAAGATTCATGTTAGCACCTTCCAGTGCTTCACTAGGCTTAAAGGGACACTATAGTCACCTAAACAACTTTAGCTTAATGAAACCATTTTGGCGTATAGATCATGCCCCTGTAGTCTCACTGCTCAGTTCTCTGCCATTGAGAAGTAAAATCACTTTGTTTATAAACCTTAGTCACACCTCCCTGCATGTGACTTGCACAGCCTTTATAAACTCTAACTGTAAAGTCATCTAATGTTTATCCTTCCTTTATTGCAAGTTCTGTTTAATTTAGAATTTCTTATCCTCTGCTATGTTAATCGTTTGCAAGAGTCTCTTGTATGTGAATAAAGTTCAATTTACAGAGCAGGAGATAACATTGTTTAACGTAAATTACATCTGATTGACAGTGAAACCAATTTTTTTTTCATGCAGGCTGTGTCAATCAGAGCCAGGGGATGTGTGGCAATGGCTGCATGAACAGAAACAAAGTGATTTAACTCCTAAATGGCTTGAGCAGTGAAACCGGAGAGGCATTACCTATACACTAAAACTGCTTCCTTAAGCTAAAGTTATTTAGGTGACTATAGTGTCCCTTTAACACTTTTACCATTGGTAATGTCAGCAAACAGATGTAAATCATGAATGTTAATGTAAGTAGTTTGCCACTGAGACGTGAAAGATAAAAATAATCCATTTGCATCACCAAATGCTTTTATTTCATTTTAAGACACTTTCTAGATAAATAGGTTATCAATCTACCTGCTATAAAATACAATGTTGTCCCTGAATGGGTTACCATCTCCGTAGGTGTGTCCACTCCCACCAACCCAGGAAGAAGTTGGCATATAAGGGCGCAAAACACACCCCCATGGTAATCACATGTCTCTGGAGAGAGAACTCATCCACAAAATGAAAATAATTTGATTTAGTAAAAGTTTCTTAAAGGACCACTATAGTGCCCTGAGGGTGCCCCCACCCTCAGGGACCCCCTCCCGCCCGGCTCTGGAAAGGGGAAAGGGGTTAAAACTTACCTTTTTCCAGCGCTGGGCGGGGAGCTCTCCTCCTCCGATCCTCCTCTTCTCCTCCTCCTGGGCTGAATGCGCACGCGCGGCAAGAGCTGCGCGCGCATTCAGCCCGTCACATAGGAAAGCATTCTCAATGCTTTCCTATGGATGCTTGCGTGCTCTCACTGTGAAAATCACAGTGAGAAGCACGCAAGCGCCTCTAGTGGCTGTCAATGAGACAGCCACTAGAGGATTAGGGGGAAGGCTTAACCCATTCATAAACATAGCAGTTTCTCTGTTTATAAAAAAAATGGGTTAACCCTAGAAGGACCTGGCACCCAGACCACTTCATTAAGCTGAAGTGGTCTGGGTGCCTAGAGTGGTCCTTTAATAAAAATGAACTGCATCCAAAAGTGAGATCCAAAACACAGGAATTTTATAAATAAAATTTCATATTTTTTAAACCCAACTGGAAAATTAACCACCTTGAATTCATTTTTTTTATTACCTTCACTGGTCCAGAGAGAATGTGTGAAGCAAGTGTGCATGATGCACTATAGGGACAAAACCAAAGCTAAGTGGCCTGATTGATACACATGCTGAGCTATCTTCAGCAACTGATTTTTTTTTTTTTTTTATATATATCATATCTGACAGTGGGCTCGCAAATTCCTTCCCCAAGTATATACTTATTTATATTAATCAGGGCAAATAATCTGTATTGGAATAATTCTTCAAAAGGAAGTGTAAACATTAGATCCTACTCTTTACAGGAAGTGTTTAGGTAGTTTGTGTAAGTCACACTCAAGGAGGTGTGACAAGGTCTGTATAAACAAAGTGACCTTACTCATAAATGGCAGAAAATTGAGCAGTGAGACTGCAGGGGGCATGATCTAAACACTATAGTCACCAGACCAACTACAGCTTATTGAATTTGTTCTGGTGAGTAGAATCATTACCTTAAGCTTTTTGCTGTAAACACTGTCTTTTCAGTGAAAATGCAATGTTTACATTACAGCCTAGTGATAACTTCACTGGCCACTCCTCAGATGGCTGTTAGAGATCCTTCCTGGGTCATGGCTGCCTAAAATGCATCCAAACATTCAGTATCTCCTCCCTCTAATGCAGACACTGAACTTTCCTTGTAGAGTTTAATTGATTCAATTCATCTCTATGAGGAGATGCTGATTGGCCAGGGTTGTGTTTGAATCGTGCTGGCTCTGCCCTTGATCTGCCTCCTTGTCAGTCTCAGCCAATCCTATGGAGAAGCATTGTGATTGGAACAGGCTACCACTTCTGATGTCAGCAGACTGCTTGTTTTTCTAAGTCTAACAGCATGCAGAGTTACAGCTTCAGGCTTGAATACAGTAAGCTTTTTACTATATTTATGGAGGCATGAGGGGCCCGGGGAGGGGGGGGGCTAGATGGTGGTGTTAACACTATAGGGTCAGGAATACATGTTTGTGTTCCTCACCCTATAGTGATCCTTTAACCCCTTAAGGACACATTACGGAAATATTCCATCATGATTCCATGTTATTCCAGAAGTTGTGTCCTTAAAGGGGTTAAGCTAAAGTTGTTTTGGTGCCTGGTGGTTGTATAATTTATTGCAATCATATGGTGTTTTGGGGAAACTCATTCTCCTAGATCCCAATCTCCACACGGTTAGATACCTTTACTAGCCCCAAAAGAAGCCATAGTCCTTCAATGAAACTATCTTTGTGTTTATCCTGTCTGTAACCATTGCATTGACTAACAACCGTGGATATAGATTGCTTGACAGCTTACGTGCATAACAATGCCACCACCACCACCCTTATTTCCTTGCTAACTTGTGGGACATATTGACTCTTTCCCCCTCCTCCATGTGATCAGCAGTTACCATTATTTTATTAGGTGTTCCTTAAAGCAAAACTGTCACTAGTAGGGTCTTTCGCAAAGACACACAAGGTGACATATCTGCCTGCTTGGTCATGGCACAAAAATGGTAGGGAGATATACTTATCTAATACCATCCCTCCTCTGCACCACCATCTTCCCGCTGCCATTGTTCTGCACTTCTTAGCGACTTCACCAGCCGGGAGCCTTGTCTATTGTGTACTTAATAAATAAGCCTTAAACTTATCTGGAATCCAGTGCTGAGCAAAGCTCGTCGTGCTACCTTCCATGCCTCCAATCTTTATGTCACTACGTCCCTTTCTGTGGTCCAATCAAAAGTGTATTCTAGAGATGCTGAGCTAGTGATTGGACCATTCTCACTAGCTTAGTGTGCATACATGACATAACTTATTGCCTTGGACATATTCATATCATAGAAACATAGAATGTGACGGCAGATAAGAACCATTCGGACCATCTAATCTGCCCAATTTAACTCCATAGACTATATTTCTCTCTTTTACTCCAATTGGTGGTTAATTTAAAAGAACGTTGTCATGAATGCATAACATTATTTTTTCAAGTAGCCATCTTGAATGTCGTGGCCGGAAGGAGCGTTATCTAACAAACAAAAAAAATCACTATAGCTTGCTCTGCTGCCGTTGCATAGACTGGCATTGCCCTGTGTGCAGCTCACTGCAGGGGCTGCTCTGCGCAAGTATCGCTGCCTCTTATTACATTCTCTTTCAGCGCTCTCTAACAAAATAGTTGTTTTAGTAAACCAGGTTGCTTTATCTGTAATTTTCTACCTTATTAGGCGGAGTTTGTTTTGTTGCTACCTTGAGCAAGTCCCCTTTCTCCCTCAATGTTTATAATCTTCCATACCTCTTGATATTTAACGTTTCAAGCTTAGAAACGGTTTAATTCAACACTTTCTTTTCATCTCTTGTGCCATAAATAAGTTAATTCTAAAAGGGTTTATACACATTACCGGGCAAGTCTTGCTTGGGGACCCTGGCCACCAGGGGAGCTTATTTATTTATTAAGGCGAACCAGAGGCAGGGAGGGACAATTGGCACATCACCCCCTTTATTATATTAATACTCACCACCTGTCACTATTAGGGGTGGGGGAAAGACAATAGCATCTTCCCCCTAAATCCTATTATTTGAATTCTTCCCTTCCTCCTTAATGGGCAATTGCAGAGAGGGGCAATGGCATGCACCCTCTATCATATTAACTGAACCCATGGATGGCAGGAGTGGTGACAAATTACATGTTGCCCATTAACAATAATATTTAGCCCTTGTAAGTGTCTGCTGCCCATGGGTGTGGGCAGTGGGTGAACAATGGCACGTCTTTCTCCGTAATTATTATTTTCAAACCCACAGCTGGTAGCCATGGGTGGTGGACACAAGCTGTGAGGGAAAATGGCGCCGATGGCCATGGTTGGGCGCCATTTTTGTATGCACGTAAAGGAAAAGGACATTTACCCTTTTTAGTATTTTACCCCCACCTGCTGCCCTTGGGTGGGTGTATGGGCGGTGGATAAAGGCATGTCGCCTTCAGCCTGATGCCCAGGGGTGAGTGATGGTAACAATGGCAGAAATCATCAATGCTTTCAGTACAACTGCTCTGGCTTTATTGTTCAAATTCACTTGAAATACTCGCTTTAGTAAATAACCCTGTATGATAATTTTTCTAGTTCTCTTTGAATTTCTGTAAATTCTCACATTAGGGAATAAATAACTCTACCACTGCCAATGGCAGAGTGAGTTTACAGCCAACTTGCAAAATTTACACCAAAATAGTATTTTTTTCAGACAAAACTCTCCACCTCAGCCATGTCTAAATTTATTTTTTTCCCAAAATGTTACAAGCCTGCTACAATTACTATTTGTTGAGTAGAGTACAAAATATGTGATTCTCACAATTAAAAGAAATAATAACAAATGGCTCCATGTATGCAGAGCACAAACTACAAGCCCCGAGATGCACTGCGGGCCCCCGAGTGACGTGTTTCCGTTTCCGGGCGGTGACAGGAAGCTCGGCACATGTGGGTGACTTTGAGGCTGCAGGTCAGGGAATCGCAGCGATGGACGGCTTTGGGTCAGATTTCTCCTCCGGATCCCCGGGCTCCGGGAAAGTAGACACCGGGGCCATCATGGAGCAGGTCAAAGTCCAGATTGCGGTGGCAAATGCGCAAGAACTGCTGCAGGTTAGCGTCAACACACAATGCATCATGAGACTAACTCCTAGTACTGCCAGCCATCACCCCAGCCCTCCTCAGATAACCTGCCACTGCCTCCTAGATCACCCTGGATAACAGAGCTTTTTATATGTTTATCTGTCATGGGGTTTATTAATTTAAAGTGGCAATATTCCTCCTCCCCACCCCCCCCTTTAAAAAAAAATTGAGTATGTCATAATGATAGACTATTTAGCAACCCCCCTCCCTTGGCGCTGAAGAGGTTAAAACCCCATTCAGCCACTTACCTTAATCCAGCGCTGGTGACCTCTCCTCCCCCGCCAACGTCAGCTCCCGATTGGAGCGGAATGCGCATGCGCGGCTAAGTCCATAGCTCTTGAAAACGTGAGTAGGACCATATACTCTTTTATTGCTTCTACCCCCTTCGGGACATACTATACCATCAGTTGTTATTTTCTCATTTCATATAATGTACAAAGACGCATCTACACCACTCTGAAGAATCCCCCACTACAAAAGACTGTATTCACCTCTACAAAGATATACCTCGTTGTTTGATTCATCTACCAGTCAGACTATTTATTCTGGACTTCTATTTGCTTATTATCTATCATATATATTGCATTCTAGTCTGCCTATTCTGTGCTCTTTTAATTTATGTGGTTTGTAGTGGCGCTGCCTTCCTTTCTTTTTTCTGTACCATTTCTGTTGTAAGGCCTGTGAGGGAGCCCTACTTTTTAGGTGTGCTGCCACTTTTTACTTATTTATTATTGTTTCTGTTGTATTTTGTATAGATAGAGAGCGCTGATCCCTTTCTTCTGTTCCATAGGAAAGCATTACTCGATGCTTTACTATGGACATTGTGCACGCTGGATGCGATTTTCGCATCCAGCGGCGCAGAAGCTCCTCTAGCGGCGGGATTAACCCTGCAATGTAAACATAGCAGTTTCTCTGAAACTGCTATATTTACATCTGATGGTTTAAAACCAGGGGGACAGACCACTTAATTGAGCTGAAGTTGTCTGGGTGACTATAGTGTCCCAGAGATATAGATATACAGAGATAAAGTAGGGGAGTACTTTTGTCTATGTATATTTCCTCCGTCTGAATTAGCTCTGTCTATGGAGAATATATCTCTCCATCCGCTAAAGACCTAAATACTGCATTCCACAGTGACGTCAGCTCCTTGCGCTTCTGAGGAGAACACGTTGGATGAAGATGCTATTGCGAGGGACGAGTTCAGGTATATAAATCTCATATTTACCTGCCTGCTTGGCCTCCGGAAAGCAAGGGACGATGTCAATGTCGGGGGTTTCTGCAAATTTAGCAAAGTTCCCGGGTGGTGACAATGCCGTTCTAACAGCGAATTGTAGTGAATTTAATTATAACAGTTTTTTTTTGTTTTTTTTACAAAAGTGAGAATTCCCAGTGAATTCAAAGCCAGAGTCGCTGAATGGAAGGTATAGCTAATCTCGAGAATTTTATGATTTATGTATATGGTCTGTATTGTGGGGGATTTCACAGTGAGTGATTTTCACAGTAAGAAGTGCCTCTAGCGGCTGTCAACTAGACAGCCACTAGCGGCTGGATTAACCTTATTGTAAACATAGCAGTTTTCTCTGAAACTGCTATGTTTTCAGCTGCAGGGTTAAAACCTGAGGGACCTGGCACCCAGACCACTTCATTGAGCTGAAGTGGTCTGGGTGCCTATAGTGGTCCTTTAACTTGAGACCTGCAGAGGATTTGCTAAAGTACATTGTGTGACATGAAATAATTTGTATGGTGAATCTGCATTTCTTTTTTTTTTGTTTACACCATCTTGTGTTATAAAAGCCATTCCATGGTTATAGAATGCTTAGACATGGTTGTCTCAAAACAGCAGGAGTGACAGGTTAAATGAATCTGTCATGGCTTGGTCCCAAAAAACCCTTAATACCAGAACATCTAATGCGTAATGTATTAGTTTTGGTGCAAGGGGACGTTTTCCAGTCAATGTTCACGTTTGTCCCTATGGACAACTCATTTAGCCAGCCACTAGAGGTGCTCCCTATTATGGTCCTGCAATCTTTGCGAGACTGATGTTTGTCATTTTCACACCCTGCATGAAGAGGCTGAACGCTCTTCATGTCAAAATAGATTATGCATAGGGATCCTCGGCAGCTGAATTAAGGAAGGGCGTTATGAAGAGCATTTGTAGTCTCATCTTATTGTAATAAAATATTTTATTTAAATTAACACTCCAAGTACAATAACCACAACAATTGTAAATGGTGCAAGGAGTGCCCTGACACATCCAATTTGAAGTACAGTTTGGCTTCTTACTGCTCCCCCCTCTACTAGGCAGTAGTGCTTAACCCCTTAAGGACACATGACATGTGTGACATGTCATGATTCCCTTTTATTCCAGAAGTTTGGTCCTTAAGGGGTTAAAGGTCCTAAGCAGAGCTTAGCTCTGTCTAGTACAACCATAAGCTGGCTGATTGCTCCCACTTACAATGTCCATAGTATGTGCAAGAGATGGGTAAATGTAACCTATAGGGTAAGCATACAGTGTTCTAGCCTTCTAGCCATTATCATTGATGAAAGGGGACCTCTCATGCCCCAAATAACGTATGTTCAGATTGAGCATAAAATTCTGTCTATACATTTCGCAATCAGTTTTGCTAGCAAATGTATAGATTAGGAGAAAAACCTATTTAAAATGTTTTTGAGCAATATGTCAACTAGCATGTTAACTAAACTACACTACTTGTAAGCAATATGTCAATTAGCATGTTAACTAGTATACACTACTTGTAAGCAATATGCCTACTTGGATGCCCATTTATATTATGTTGATGCCCTCCGTGGTGGTACAACCTGCTGTCAAGTTAATAGTCTGCCTGATAAATTAACAAGTTCAATGGTATACACTACTGAAAAACAAAATATCTAATTAATTTATATATTTGTGCAGAAAATTAACAAAGCATGTTAGAGGGCACTTGGAATATCAACTACCATATTCATGTGCAACTAGTCTTCCTTATCTTTGTAATTCATTGTCGCTATCACTGAGCCTAGGCTGCCTACGCTACACATATCTATTGCCTAATAGTTAAACCTAATTGCCTAGCCAGTTTTTTTATTATTTTTATAAAAATGTGCACCTTCTCTTTCTGCCATGCCGATGTAATAACGTATATGCTATCAAAACGCTTGTCAGTGCTGTCGTGGCATTGCAAGCATGTCTGTAACTAATTGCACTACTAAAATAATGTTAAAAAATAAATAAATGTGTTTTTCCCAGCTGTCAGTCAATGATGTGCTGAGTCATTCACTGATAAAGGGGAGCAGAATAGACCTCCCACATAAAGTTGTTCCCCCCTCCCCCACTCTATTTATTTTAATAACCCCCACCCATGGCCACGATGACACCTAATCTTGTTGGCATTGATGACATATCGGTTCCGGGTTCAAACAATAGATAAATGACCTTTTTAAAAAACAAACATCCAAACCTATAATGAGCAATTGGTTTTATAGGATTTAATACTAATGCAAATTTTTCTCTAAATTCCTTCACCCTTACAGAGGATGACCGATAAGTGCTTTCGAAAATGTATAGGCAAACCTGGTAGCTCCCTGGATAATTCAGAGCAGGTATGTAGTTTCCTTATTGATTTCTGGCATTCATTCATTATGATGTTATTGTTACTAAATGCCAAGTTGCCCCAATTTATTTTTTTTCCCAATTATTTCTAACAGCTTTAATTAATATAGGAGTTAGTATAGCAGCTCTTTGCAAGCCAACCTCTAAATGCCCAACAATACTTAGATGCTGCCTAAAATAAATAGCAAATCCTCCTCAAACCATTTCTACTCCCATTTTTATACTGACTGTGATAGTTCATTCTGCGTCACTCGCCAGTAGTCTGGTACGTAGGATATATTAAGGTGAACTACTGCCGACACAATAACCAGAGGGCTCTCCAGGTGTTGTTGAACAGCATCTCATTGGATCCTCAGCCGTACATTACTCAACTGCATGCTATCTAAGGGGCCATGACAGGTGTTTCAGCACTAGCGTATGAGCTGCTTTTGGCTGCGCACACTTGCTCTAACACAGTTTCCATTGATTCAGTATTGTTCCTATAATATCTGTGTAGAGCTACAAATGATTAACTAACTTGTTACGTTGTGCGTGGGGCTTTTATTTTTCCTATACATTGTTCCAGCCAAACTATCAAATTCATAGATTCGGGGGCGGGGCCGGGCCGCCGAGCCGAACGGCTGCAACTCACGCCGGCTCCGGCGTAGAAAAGCCTAAAACAGCATGAAACCTTCAAAATACTCACGATCCATGCCGAAAACCGACACCAGAGAGGTAACCCGGCAGAGAGGAACCGGGGAGTGCAACGCTAGGGCACATATTGCACCTCCGGCTCACACAGTGACCCCGGAGGCCTCAACCACGCTACAAGAGCGGGACCCACGGCATGCAAGCAAGGCGAGGGTGACCTGGCCCGGCCCCGCTCCCCCCCCCCACCCGGCCGGGGGGGTGATCCCGGCCCAAAGTCGGAACATCGGAGGCTGGAGGAGAAGGCACGCCCGGTACACGACGCTCCGGTACACGGAGCTAAAATGGCCGACGGATACACAGTACCCGCACAGCATTACGGGACGACTCGCACACAGCAGAAATCCCGCGCTGGGATACCGGGACCCCCGGGACGGCGGAGCTCACTACTGGACCACCCCGGGCGGCGGACGAGTCGCTGGAAAGCCGGTCCTGAACCCCGGATTTGGTGGGGGTCCGGGAGAAACAACCCCCAACTCTGTGAGCCCGGTGGAGCTGAGAAGCGCGGGCCAGCCGGCGGACCGGTGGCCGGAGGGCACGCGCCGGCAACATGTAAGTGGCCGGAGGAGGAGGTGGCAAGTCAGGGCTGGGGCCCCAAGGAGGCCATGCTGAAGCTGGGGAGGTGCAGGAGGCGGGAGCCCAGTGGACTCTAAGGTGGGGAGGCCGCCGGACAGCTCCGGCCTCCGAGTGCCCACAGCGGGGTTGTGCCCCCTAAAGATGCGGAAACACGACTTGGGGTGGGAAAGGGAGGGCACTGTCACACCCGGGGGACCCGGAGAGACTCAGGGGGGGTACAGCTGACCCACCATGTGCAGCATCATTCAGAGGTAGCCATGGGAAGGTCATACCAGAATAAAAGCTGCGAAGAAGACTGCCAATTTCACACCAGATGGCTTCAACATATCGGGCGTCATTACGCCCCCTCCAGCGAAGTGACTTATATGTTAAAAGTTCAAATGTGTTTAGCTAGGGCTAACCAGGCTAATGTTTCCCCTTGCATAAGCCCTTGTACATAGGATATAATAGTTGCACATTCATTTCACAGCGTGCCTGTGGCGCAGTTGATAGGGCAATGACACAATGCTAACAACTACTTAACACCGCGTTACTTAGTACCGCTTATTTAATGGCACGAAACATGACGTGATTTATTAACTACACATAAGGCCATCAGCTACGCGCATCTTAATGTTTAATTGTTTATTGCATGATCAGCTACAGTTTACCTCAGATTGACACATTATAGGATGTTGTTACCTTTTATGCTGTAATGCTTAGAAATGTACTCCTGCAAAGTTCAAGTACGCCTATATGTTCTGATCATTACGCCTCTGCGCAGGCGATAATCTGCATCTATTCCTATGTGCTAACATTTAAGCCTCTACGTAGGCGACCGTTCACCTTAATGAATGCTATAACTTACTGCTTAAGCCCCTGCGTGGGCAACCTCTGGCTTTATAACGAACCAGTTCGCAATATGCACTTATATTGTGAAAACAATAAAAATATTTAAAACAAATTCATAGATTCTATCCTAATCGTAAAATGTACACATGTCTGGTGACCGACTTCAACTCTTGCTGTTGGGAAGATCTTGGCCACATTCCTATATACTTATCTCCCAGAGTTAATTACAGAGGATGTTAGATTTGACACATGCATACATAGGACTTCTGGAGGGGATAGTTTGCAACCCGATATATTATTCAAGTGCACAATGTGTAGGGAAAAAATTACCAATCTTTATTCAAGCATATCTCTCAGTCAAAGCAATGACATTTGGCCTTAATCATTGAAACGTTACTGAGAAATATGTTTGAATAAATGCTGCCCTTTCCGGATTACATACTTTGGTTATGGTTAGAAGAGTGGGAGGTCCCCTCGGGACGGCACACAAAAAGTAGTTATGTGCGGTGCCCTTCTACTGTGTAGAGACTCCCTTTTAGATGTAATATTTTAAATATGTATGGACTATTTGCTTGGTAGAGATTTTAATTAAACATGTTATGTATATTTTAACTTTAGCTAAATTCTCCCCTTCATTGAATACATAATTTATAATGGTACTCTTGTTTGTTGTGCCTTTCTTATGTTCTCTTGCTTTTTCCGTACACCAGAAATGCATTGCAATGTGCATGGACCGATATATGGACGCCTGGAACACTGTATCCCGAGCTTACAATGCCAGACTGCAGCGGGAGAGTGCAAAGATGTGACATGGATCAGGAGTCCACGTCAATCTGGAGAGTAAACCTACCATCACTGGACATAATCTCCTTTGCTGCTGGGAGCTGTTGCTGTCAAATTGAAGAAGGATAAAAAAAACAAGGAACTATAAATGTATGAGACTGTTAACATAGGGCAATGATACTGAAAGGATTTATATTGCAGTAAAAATGACAGCATGATGGAATAAATCAGTGCTGCTCAATATCTCCTACCCTGCCACTTAATCTCCTAACAGGGCATAGCCTTATTGAGAGTTTAAAGGGGCGGTGCGGGAGATGTCTAAATATTGCGTCCCACTCCTACCCTTCTTCTACAAACACAAAACTGTCTAGTGTCCCGTTAGAATCATTTTTGTGTCTCCTTACTTTCTCAAACCATTGTGCCACTGTTTTTGTTATAACAAAATCTTACTTCCATTTGTTATACGTTTGGCTCCCAAATGGAAAATTGATTTTGTTGGTTATCCCAATATGGATAGGTTTATCTCCGATATGTCATTTCAAACATGTATAGTTAATTTCATATGATAGGCTGATCATTTTGATTTTACAAAAACTCCTATATGTAAAATTGGAAAAGTTCATTAATAAAACGTATTTGATACAAAAAAAAAAACAACCAAAAACTCAAGGTAAATATTCAGTTCACGAACGCTAACTCTATTCCAAACCGTTTTAAGAAAAGTTTTTTCCACACTGTTAAATTGTGAGAAATATTTATAATTAATTATTACAATATTTAATGCTGCAGACACTGCTGTCGAGAAGTCATTTAGAAACCTCACCTATTCTAAAGTAGCCTTTCACAAACTACTATTCGTCTGTCAGTACAGCATTCAATGAATCTATGCAGTGCTGATTTTATTTTATACAAACTTTTCTACTACAAGTTATTTTAATACATTTCCGAATACCTATCTGTACTTTTCTACGCTGCTCTAACCACTCTCTATATACAATTATAGCTTAGTTACATATTTAGACTTCCTGTTCTAATTTTGTTGCTAAAATCAAGGGGTTATTTACTAAATTGAAAATATGTTGAGAATTTCACATTTTAGTTCTAATTAAACTGGAAGAGTTATCTGGTCTAGTGAATAACTCTGCTACCCTGAGTGTGGTTTATCAAGTGATGGGTAGAAGTATAGATTAGGTATATTACCTGCATCATTAACCTGACACACCGGTTATACACATTTTTTTTCCATAAACTTTTAACGCTAAAAAGGTACCATACCAAATAAACCGTATATCAATGTGAAGTTGCTGTTGTTAATCTTGGTCTCAACTGTTCTTTGATGTTGTGACAAGCAGCAAGTTGTTTTGTGTTTTTCATTGTAAATGGAAATAATGCAGGGGGGGGGGTTTATACTTTTATTTATTTTTATTATTTTTTAATTTCTTTTGGGGTGTAATGGAAGGCAGCAAGAAAATAAATAAATGTATTTTGATAGATTTCTGTGTGTAGTTTATAAATAATTCAGTTTCTCTGTCTGCGCTGGTTTTCAGTGCAATGAAAGTTGTGCAGGTTATATAAAAGGAAGTCTCATCTCTTATAACAGAATCTCAATAAAATTGTTTTGAGGACTGAGCTCCCTGGGTGCCATCTTACCTTAAAGAACCACTATAGTGCCAGGAAAACACTTGTTTTCCTGGCACTATAGTGCCCTGAGGGTGCCCCCACCCTCAGGGTCCCCCTTCCACCAGGCTCTAGGGAGAGGAAGGGGTTAAACTTACCTCTTGCTCCAGCGCTGGGTGGGGAGCTCGCCTCCTCTTCGGCTGAACGCGCATGCGCGGCAGGAGCCGCGCATGCATTCAGCCAGTCCATAGAAAAGCATTCACCATGCTTTCCTATGGACGCTGGCGTCTTCTCACTGTGAAAATCACAGTGAGAAGCACGGAAGTGCCTCTAGCGGCTGTCAATGAGACAGCCACTAGAGGCTGGATTAACCCATTTATAAACATAGCAGTTTCTCTATGTTTATAGAAAAAAGGGTTAAACCTAGCTGGACCTGGCACCCAGACCACTTCATTAAGCTGAAGTGTCTGGGTGCCTATAGTGGTCCTTTAACGTGTTATAACATCATTAAGATGGTGGCTTGAGGGAAGAGACTCCCTGTAAAAGAAACCTATTTCACTAAAGTAACATGTTCTACACCCTCTTGATGATGTTCTCATCATTATAAAGAAAATAGAATGAATGTTGGCACAGGTTCACAGTTAGTATTTCCTTTATAATATGGATCTCTTCTAAAGAATTGATAATGAAAACAAAGCCAAGGCATTTCATACAGTTCCACACAATAGATTAATGTTCAAACTCAAGGAAATCGGTCTAGATGAAAATGCTTGTTCTTAGGTAGAACATTGGCTTAAAAACAGTGTACAAAGAGTTGTCATTAATGGTAAATTTTCAAGCTGGACAGAGGTGGCAAGTGGTGTCCCTCAGGGGTCTGTTCTGGGACCCCTTCTATTTAACATATTTATAAATGATCTTGAAGACAGCATTGAAAGTCATGTTTGTGTTTGCAGATGACACAAAACTTTGTAAAATAATACAATGTGTGCAAGATATTACTTTGCTGCAGAGGGATTTAGATAGACTGGGCACTCAAATGCCAGATGAAATTTAATGTTGAAAAATGCAGTTATGCACTTCGGCGTAAAGAATACACAAGCAACGTATACCCTTAATGGAAGCGAATTAGGGATAACAACACACGAAAAGGACTTGGGAATTGTTATAGACAACAAACTATGCAACAATGTGCAATGTCAATCAGCAGTGGCCAAGGCCAGTAAGGTATTGTCATGCATGAAAAAGGGCATTCATTCTCGGGACGAGAATATCATTTTGCCTCTTTATAAATCACTGGTAAGACCACATATTGAATATGCTGTGCAATTTTGGGCACCTGTTCTAAAGAAGGATATTATGGCACTAGAAAAAGTCTAGAGGCGGGCTACAAAATTAATAAAAAGAATGGATCATATCAGCTATGAAGATAGGTTAACAAATTTAAACCTATTTAGTTTAGAAAAACGTCGCCTGAGAGGGGATATGATAACATTATACAAATATATTCGGGGCCAATACAAACCATTTTGTGGAAATCTATTCACAAACCGGACTTTACATAGGACAAGAGGCCATGCCTTTAGACTGGAAGAAAGAAGATTTTGCCTAAGATTTTACTGTAAGAACAATCAGGATGTGGAATTCTCTGCCTGAAGAAGTGGTTTTATCAGAGTCCATTCAGATGTTCAAACAGCTACTAGATGCATACTTGCAAAAACAATATTCAAGGATATCATTTTTCAATGTAGGGTAATAACTGTTTGATCCAAGGATAAATCTGACTGCCATTCTGGGGTCAAGAAGGAATTTTTTTCCCTAGCTTGTTGCAAAATTGGTAGTGCTTCAAACTGGGTTTTTTGTTTGCCTTCTTTTGGATCAACAGCAAAAAAACAAATGTGAGGAAGGCTGAACTTGATGGTCGCAAGTCTCTTTTCAGCTATGTACCTATGTAACCTATGCATCTAATAAGCAGGTAAATAAATCTTGCACCTTGGTAATAATTTTATATTGCACTGTTGCCACTTTACTGGAGATTGGTTAAGCAGCTAATGCTCCAGTAAGTACATTTTATATATATTTTTTTAAATGGAAATTCCATCAATTTATCACTTTTTAGAATCATATCAAACTAGTGACATTAGTTATCACTGAGCATTTTTTTTTTTTACGGGTTTCATACCTGTGGATGCCACCATTCCAGTTTATTTTTTAATTTTTTTTACGCATAACTAAACACTCAGACTTAAGTCTATTTAGCCGTTTCTTTGCTATATTGATGTAAATAGAAAGGTCTGATAATCCTAGTACAGGCATGTACATGTTGTCGAACACAAATACATTGTTTTGTTGTCATAATAACAGGTCACCTTTATTTATAGAAAATATACTCTAAATGTTCTGCTTTTCAAAGCAGGCAGATGAATAAAATGATTTGGGAAGTGTAATTGTCCTTTTTAACTCCACTGTCTGTCTACTGCCAGGATTTGAACCTGACCCAGCAAGTTTCTTCTGCTTGTTAAATGTGAGTGGGCTTCTAATCTTGCCCATCCCTGAGTCAGAATCTTCATAATCGTAAAGTCTGTCCAATCCAGCTGCGGACAGATGTTATCCTGGTATAAACCCCCGGGAAGTAAGGTCTTGCACAGCCGTAACCCCAACTAGTTATTCCAGCTAAAAACCACCGCCCCGAGGTTTCCCTGCATGCCAAAGGGCCCCCAGCATCTCCCTAAAAAGACAAAACAAAAACTGTAAGCACTTGCAATGTTAATATCCAGGAGCCACACAAATTATTTATAGATGTGGTATAAGATTGAATGGTAGAATACAGTAGTGTTATGTCCAATAAGCCTTGCTGTAATACTTACAGAACAACTGTCCACCCCTCCTTGCATAAAACCAGCACAGAGCATTCTGGGACTTATCTGAATAGGGTAGAATTTTTTGCAAGTCTGGTCCCCAACAATGCTGATTGAGGCTTTCTGAAGTTGCCTGGACATTGGACCTGAAAAACAGATATGTAAATGTATAGAAGTTTCTCTTTTTTAATGGATACATTGCTTCCGTTTATAGGAACATATCCTGAAACCATACATTGAACCATATTTTGATGTATTTCCCGAGTACTTCCTTCAACTAGTCAAAATTTCGTGAAAATCGTGCATGTTTTCTAACTCTTTCAGTAGATATATTAATATATTCCTGAGAAGAGTGCATTATTCTTTTTACAAGGCATTTTATCTAAAAGTTGTCCTGGCTAAGCAAGCAACTATACAGGTGACTGAGCTACTGCTGAACAGAACTGGCACTGAGGTTTTTGTCTTCTAAAAGGCAAGTGCTTCAAACTCATTTATTCACTACTAACCCGAGAGCCAGGCTTGCAATTGGCAAGAAAACTGAAAATACAATGCAGGGTGATGGGTCTGGGGACATTGATGGTATTCTAGCTTGATACCAAAGGCCGAAAAGTAAAATTGTGACTCACAGAGTCCTTGGACAAGGATGAAAGGGACTTTATATATCTCAAGCCAGACGGGGTCACAAGCTTAAAACTCTTTTTTACTAAGAGAGGACTGTGGGCCATGATGGCTAACATCCAGAGGCTGGTTGTTGCAGACTTTGTGCTTTAAAAGGAGCACAAAACCACAACAGAGTGAGTTAAAGTTTTTTCTAGAATTTAGATCCCAGCTCTTTAGGACGTCCTCAATAGTTTAGGATTTTCACTAGCAACATTTAACAATACTTCATTTCTTTACTGCGTGGATGCCTTGATTTCTACAGGAGCAGAAATGAGAACATGGATGGTCTTCCGGAGCCCCAGCGATTAACGACAACTTATTTCTACACTTTTACCCCCCAAATTTTACCTTTTCACAAAAACACCAACAAAGCAGCTCTAGTTCTAGCTGTCAAAACATTGTTACATGTAAAAGACTACTTCACACCCATTTCCAAGGCACTTTATAAAAGTGCTGATTTTTATTAATTATAATTAATGAAACCCCATCCTGTCTGGCAAACAGACAGCCAGTGGTATTTTGTTTCCTGCTTCGGTTAGTCCCCCTGAGCTAATGGAAGTGACATTTGCACTCTCCTGCCTCCCCTCTGTCGACCTTCTTCTCAGACCTCCAATAAGAACACTGTGCAGTGCGCACACACAGGGGAACTACGGAGGTTTCTCAATGAAAATGTATCCTATTATCCCGTGTAGATGCTGATAGTCTCTTCACAGGAAAAAAAGGGGATGCTTGCAAAGGCTGCAGTTCACAAGAAGCTCTTTTAATATATACATGCATGTATTCATTTGTGGTATATTCTACTAATTAGTTATTACTTTTTTGCCCTTTTTGGGTAGGGTAGTGTCCCTTTATTTAGGTCTACACTCCACTGGAAGAAATCGATTTCCTTCATCACCAAGACTGTATGTGATTCATATCCCTACAGATTGGGTACTCCTGGTTCACTAATTGTGGTGAAAGATGTCTACCAGTATAGGCTACTTCCTACATCAGATCTGAACACTTTTCTTCAACTCATTGAGCCTGACAGATGAGCCGCTTGTAAATTCTGGTCCCTTTGGGGCATGGGTAATATGGGACTGCTGGTCTGTGTAAACTGATCTATACAAATCACTCTACTTCAGACGGAGTGATATTTACTTGCCCTTCATAGGTGTTTATGCCTTAAAGGGACACTATAGTCACCAGAACAACTGCAGCTTAATGTAGTTGTTCTGGTTAGTATAATAGTTCCCGTCAGGCATTTTCATGTAAACACTGCCTTTTCACAGAAAAGGCAGTGTTTACATTGCCCCTAGGTACACCTCCAAATGGCCACTTATTAGATGGCCACTGGAGGGGCTTCCTGGCTCAGGGATGCACAGTAAGCAGCCCTGCCGTTCATCGTTCCCACACTCTGCATTGGGACTCTGAATTTTCCTCAGAGTTGCATTGATTCAAGCAATCCACCTATATGGTTGGTTTAGAACGATAGGGTCAGGAATACATGTTTGTGTTTCTGACCCTATAGTGTTCCTTTAATTATATGTTTAATCAGTTTCCTTTGTATTATTGTTCTGAATAACATTTTAATGCACACATTGTTAAGAAGTATGAGTGCAAAAATCTCAGTCTCCATCTGTAATCAGCATATCTGTAATGTTCTGTTTTTACCATTGTGTCATTACTTCAACATTACCTCCTTCTTTGGTTGAGCCCCATCCTGTGATGAAACATCTTGTTCCCTCTGGAAAGCTATGACTGCTGTCCGGAAGACAAATTGGCTTGATGAGATTGGTGTAGGCCAGGGGAGAGGGCAGTTCCAGTAAAGCCACATCATTATCCAGAGTATACACGTTATAGAAAGGGTGCTTGTGGATCCGGAAAATCTTTTCAACCCGTCCTTCTACCCCATTAAGGAATGGCGTGCCCAAGTACGCTGCCCACAGCTTGGGGTCACTGTATCTGTTGAGGAAGAATACAAGCATTGGACAGTAGTCGAATTGCACCATTTATATAGTGAGAAAATCCAGCCACTTTCTGCCAAGCTTCCCATATTTCGTTCCGTTAAAAGTAGACCTGAATCCAACCTTTGGCTCTGGATAGAGATTGGATGTGCACGGGTAACAATGTGAAAGGGGTCCAGAGGACCCGTCCACCTAAATAATACAGCATTGCTCCAGAGATCTGCAGTTCAGTTTAAGAAGAATAGAGCAGACAATCACCCGACTCGTAGAACATGCCAAGAATCAGTATTAAATCGAGAAATAAAAAAAAAAAAAAAACGATTAAAGTTACAGGATACACCATCTGTTTTGGACTGGTTGTCAAACCAAAAGTAAAATAGGAATGTACCTGTGAATCCATACACCTGCCCAGGTAAGTATGCAAAGGTAAGTATGCAAATTTTTGGCTCCCCAAAGTATTTTTCAAGTAACCTATATTTTGATTGAACAGTGTTCTATCGTCTATAGCAGGAGTAGGCGACATTTGGCAGTCCAAACACTGTGTACTACATCTCCCAAGATGCTCTAACAGCTATAATGTTGGCGAAGCATCAACGGAGACGTAGTCCACAACATCTGGAGTGCTGAAGGTTGCTTACCCCTGGTCTCCAGCATCTTTTTAACTATTGTTGAGCTTATAGAAAGCCCAGACAGAATATTTGGGAAGATCAGGGGATGCCCCCAATAGTCCAATAGAAGCATACACAGCCTGACAGCACTGGGACATAACAGCACTGCTGTAGTGCTACCACTTTTAGCCGCAAGGTATGTGAGTTATGGTTCTGCTTCCTTCATCCTTAAGGCAAAGTGTGGCGGATGGGAAAAACAGAGATATGCCAATGTTCCACTGTCTATTAGAATACTACAGCCAGCATCCCCGGTGTACCATTTATATCAATATTAATGCCAGCAAAGGATTTTGTTGGTAAAATAATTTTTTAGGTAGATCCCACACCAACAGTGGGTTCATATTTATCTAATGATACGGCAACTGCAGGACCCCCTTCATACTAGTTTATACCAACTATACCTGGCTTATGTTATTAATTATTTCTATTGAATGGTTCAAATAAAAATTGGAAACACACAATCTGGAATGAATTTATGAATATACCCAATTAATACACCCTTCACTCCTAAAACAGATCATATGGTGACTACTGCCCGCTGAAGCCTCCCTTAGTTTGTTTTGTTAAAAACATAAGGAATGTATGTAATAGAGTTAACTTGCAAATACTGTACCTACATATCAAAGCAGTGGGCGGCAGAGAGTAGCCAGCGGTCTGAGATTAGCACTGCTCCACACTTATGTTCCTTTCTTCGCAGCCACAGGCTGACCTGCCACGGCCACTCCCCTCGAAGGGAGCCACTTCCTCCCACTATCTTGTTAAAGGGAATCACTGGGGCCGAACCACAATCTGTGAGAGAAATACATTCAACCGCCCAATTAAGAAACTCTTGCACGATTCCAAATGTAATAGTTAATCTAAAAGACATTCTTAAATACTCTTATATACAAAGATTTTGCTATCAATGGTTTATCCTGTCTAGGCAGAGGTCAGTGTTTCACACTATGAGTTCAATTTAGACTTAAAGGGGCACTATCGTCACCAAAACAACTTTAGCTTAATGAAGCAGTTTTTGTGTATAGATCATGCCGCTGAAGTGCCAATAGTTGTTTTTCATAATTAAACATAAAAAGTTAAAACCTGGATGGGGAACATTTTCTGATGGTAAACTTACGCACCGCAGTTTTGCTCATCCGAGCCATTGTTGCAGTCAGGGATTCCATCACACTCTGGGTTGGCTTTGCTGATGCAGACTCTGTTGGAGCACTTATACGTGGCAGTCGTACATGGCACTACAAAAAAAAAACAAAACAGTGTAATTTAGACTGTTGTGGGGAAATTGTAATTTCTTCTGGCGGTTATCTACCAAAAATGACATATCACCACGACCTCTACATCCATGTAAGAATGGTGCATCATTTCAAGAATCAGATAATAATCATTATATGACATAGCAAGAAAACAAGGACCCTTTTCATTTAAACTTGGCAACAGTTTGTACCATCTTTATTGAAGGGTTTTCAACAAGTATGGTAACAGTGATACCGGAAGTCATTTGTGTAATATTCGCAATAGCCAATGCAGTACATTGTGTGGGCATAAGCTAATTTGCTTTTTCACTCAGACTGTCGAGCAGTAGGATACAAAGGCAGAAATATATAAAAGTGAACGGGAAAGGTGGAGTGGATCCTTTTTCTGGGGTCCAGTGGGGATTATGTAATCTTCAAGCTCTTCTTTCTCTGTTCCCTCGCTCACTGTTTAGTAATGCGAAGGCCGGCATCGCAGCAGGGTGCGCGAGGGAGCAGAGCAAGAACTACAGGAAGGTTTCTGCTCACTTGCTGCATGCCTCCACTCAATCTCAGCCGCCCGGCTCCATGTTACCCTAGTCAGCCACCTGCCTCCCTGTTGTATTTGGCTGAGAAACACCAAGTCGCCTGGGTTTTATCGAGCCCTGGAATATAACATGTATTAAGCTGCAAAAAGATTATGAAAATTCTAAAGAACCCCAGGGGAACCTGCCTCATTCAGAAATTCTTTTCTATGATCCCTGGATGATCTCACATGGACTAAACAAGTTTCAGATCCATGACAGTTCCCCAGCAATAAAGATGACTTTTAGAACATCCAAATTTATTTTTCTGAATTTAAGGGAAATTGACCACTGTTCAAATTGATCACGCTCTTATTTGGAGAAATGTTTTAAACATTTTTATTACACTAGCAATTTTCACCTGTAGCTATTGGAAAGGTCTAGAATTATATACATGAAGGTCTGATGTATTTTCCCACTTAATATTTGATTATTTTTTAGTTGTGGGTGGATTTTGAATGCAAGGATCCCGCCTTCTTTATACACGCTAAATATCTGTAGATTGCACCCAACCAGTTGATAAAACCATATTTAAAAAAAAATTATTATTGTTGCTAATTATTATTACTGAACCAGAGAAAGACGATATTGGGCCCCATTAAAGTGAAGAGGTAATGATTCTTTGGAATTCTTTGGATGTACCTGAGAGCTGGGACCACATATAACCTGATACAATATTAATTTATCGATTGTATATAGTTCTATGAGATTGGAGGCTTTGAGAAAGATGTTTGGAGTTTAAATCCTCTGTTTGAACGTTTGAATCCTAAATGAGATTCCCAGCAGCTCATCCCCTCAGTGCTGCTTTGGCTAATGAGGAAGTATTAGCCTGAGCAGCAGTGGGCAGCTGTGACTGGCTGAGAGTATCAGATGACTGCTTCTAGCCTATCAAAGCTCGAACTGATGGTATGGATGGATATGTCAACAAGGAAGTGTGTAATCATTGCCTTAGCCACACCTCCAGAAGGGGCCAGACTGTGGGTGGCAAGGGACACTAATTTAGTGTTACACTACTCTAAAATGGTTTAAGACTGAATAAAGGGTCAGTGCCGGTGGACTCAGGATTCTATAACGAATTCAAATAGATGACATTGTTATAGTGACTACAGTATACCTTTAAGCTACAAGGATTCATGCTTATTTTAACTAAATTAGATCCAGCCATATGTATTCACCTGGTTCTATAAATTGCTTGTCACTATTAGCTATACTTACAGTTAAAGGGAACTTACAGTCAATTGTTATTTTCAGGACTATAGTTCTCCTACAGCTTTGTGATAACTGTCAGAGGCAAGAAAATGTAGAAATATGTGCTACGCTGCACTACATTTTTGCAAAACAGTACAACAGCTCCAGCGAATTATGTTTATCTCCAATATAAATAACATAACATTTATTAACATAATTAATAAAAAAAAAAAAAAAAGCAAAATTTGGCTTGTTTCATACCTTTATGAAAATTACAAACTTCTATTACCTAGTACAGGCATAGACAACCTTCGGCACTCCAGATGTTTTGGACTACACCTCCCATGATGCTTTGTCAGCATTATGGGTGTAAGAGCAATATGGGCGATGTAGTCCACAACATCTGGAGTGCCGAAGGTTGCCTATCCCTGACCTAGTATATAATGAGTTACCTGGCCTTTGAGTAGGTTTGGCTGGCTCAGTGATGCGTGGTGCTGTGGTGCTGGTCTTTGGAGTAGTTGTCTTTTTACTGGTGCCTTTAGTTGTAGAAGACTTTGGGGTGCTCCTTGTGCTTTTGGTTTGTGACATTGTAGTCCTGGGTGCAGTGGTGGTTCTTTGGCCAATGGAAGTTGGTGGTTTTAGGGTAGATGGCCTGGCTGTGCTGGTGGTCCTTGGTGGTACAGAAGATCTGGGAAGGTTCATGCCACTGTCAGTCGTTCTCAAGACAGGAGCTACAGTGTCCAATATCCAGTCTTTCAGTTTGGTGACCCGACTATAAACACCAGGTTTCTTTGCTTGGGCACATCCAACTCCCCAGCTCACTATACCAGCCAAGAAAAAGATTCCTGGACTTTCTTCACAAGCCAAAGGTCCCCCGGAGTCTCCCTTTTTAATATATCCATAAACAGTACTGAGTGTAGGAAATGTATAAAACACATTATTTGTTATTTCGTTTACTGGTAAGTACAACATTCTTGTTTATTCCCCATCATTCTACTTACTGTCATCTATAGTAAAAACTGTCGTTTTCATACACAATCTGAATATACAAACACTACTAGACAACACATTAATCTCTCCATTATTTCTTTTATTTGTACCTGAGGTCTTACCTGACAAGAATCCACTTTTCCATCAAGAAATCCTGCACAAATCATCCGATCGGTGATGGAGAAGTTGTAAAGTATGCTGCAGATTTTCTGGTCAATGATACCGACAGAAGCCTTCTGTAGGACTTCAGGCTTGGAAACTATACACAACAGAATCAAAGTCATCTTCTCTCAGTTGAGAGATCATAAAGGGACAAAATAAGGAAACAGAATGGACAATTACAATTGATGTAGTGGATTAGTCTGATCCTTGGAAGCTCAGAGTCCATGTTTTTTTAAAATTCTTTATTTATCCACACTTGCAAAGTACAATGCATAAGATCCAAAGTGCATTGATAACACTTGCACAAGCAAGGCCCACCATCCAAAACACAACCAATTATGTAGCATAATCATTCTGATGACTATTGGTCCATGTTAGCAGAATTTATTTTCATAAAACTTTAATCTACTATGCCTAATATAATTTACATACATCAATGAAAAATGGTGTCTGCTTATATAAAAAGTAAACATAACTCAACAGGAACGAGCAGCTTACTACATTTACCTTATAAATATAGTACACTTACCATTGCCTTCTTTTATGTTCCCCCATCCAGAGATCATACACTTCCATCCAGCAGGAAACTTCTGAAGGGCAGAGGGGAGGCACACTGGCTGGACAAACTTATTGAAGGTTAGGGGACTGACAAGTTCTACCACAGCAACATCAAAATCTAATGTCAGAGGATTAAAATGTGGATGCTGGACCACCCTCTTTAAACCGATCTTCACAGCCACTGCGTCAGCTCCGTTTAGTGCTGTAGACCCCATATGTGCAGTCACATGGTCTAACTTTGTCCTGAAGATGCACATAAATTAAAGGAAATTACATAATATATTGTCCTTTTAAATTAATATGCCCTACTTTGAAAAAAAAAAATGCTTCAACATAAGAACTTTAACCAAAATTGTGGCATGCAACCTTTTTTTTGGGAGGAATGTGGACCATATTAATGTTGTAAAAGAAAATTTAAAAGTATGTTCCAAGCATTTTGGACATTTACAGCATATAATCTCATAAAAAGTAAAAAAAAATAAAAAAACGTTTAAAAACATGAAGCTGCCTCCAGGAACTGGAACATATTATTACGCACAGAGTTGGAGGTCAAAGTGTCAAAAGACCACAAGCATTTGTCAATTAGTGTGCAAAATTAATGTTACCGAAACATTCTATGGGCAATAGACAAAACTGATTAGCTTACAGAATAAACGCACAGATGAGAATAATTATTAATTAAAGGTTAGAATAAGAGCATCTACATTAAACAACATGCATAAATGCAATAATGCAATAAAAATTGAAGTGAGAATATACCAGAGAAAGCACAAGAGAAAATGAGAATGTAAAAGGGAGATGCAAGATTTGATTGACGTAACTGTTATCAACACACTCAAGGCCAGTCCTCAGGCCTAACTGGTCATGTGAGGAGTATGTGAAATCCAAATTTATGACCAGCATATAAATGCTCTGGTTTTTCCCTCTAATACCTCAGTCAAAGTCCCTCCAGACAGCCTTTTGGGATTATTTCGTTCTTTTACAGGAATTTTGTTAACCTAATTTGATAAGTAGAAGGCGAGAAATTTAAGGACTTCACATAAGTGTGGCGTTTATTTACAGGTTTTTAAAACCTGAGGAAAACCCTTCTATGTTTAATAAACGGGAGAAAGGCAATAACGATTTTTTTTATTTTTTATTTTATTCACGTCTCGTGATGGGAAGGGGTAGTGGAGGACAATTTATTTAATAATTAGGTTGCAAGGCTGCTTGTAGACAGCAGGCCACTCTGGACTAGAGGATTGGGAATCTACTAGTTCATAATTTGGAGGGGGTAATGGCAGGGAACTGGACATTATCTAGTCCGTTATTATTAATAGAGGCACATTCCTTGCTCCTGTCCAGTTATTATTCCTTGAACACTTTATTCATAATGTGAATTAAGATGAGGTAGTGGAATGAGGAGGAACTTTTCCCCTAAAATGCCATTTAACCTTATAAAACAGAATTATCCAGGTAAGAAACTAAAGGATGACAGACATTCAGGTGTTTTAAAGGAGCTGTTAGTGAATCATGAATATACAAAATGAGATGGGATGGGTACTCACTGGTTGAAGCAGTGAGCAGCAGAAACCAGCCATCGATCACCAATTATTGTAGCACCACAGAAATGGCGTGGGCCTTCTTTTAGGCTTGCTTGCCATGGGACTTCTCCTCGGGCAGCATCCAGTCCCCCCACTATTTTGTTGGGTTTTGTGAGGCCAGGACGACCTCCACATTCTGAAATCATAATACTTTGTTTCTACAAGTTGCTATAAACAAAGATAATGACAAATATTTGTGTTTTTGTTTTTTTAATCCATTCTTATATTTTGGTGCAATGGCATGAATCCTTTTCTAACGTCTAATCTCTTAACAGCTACACCAAGAGTAGCAGTTGCCTTCCTAATATAAAAAAAAAAAAATACAATGTCTACGTCCTAAAAGGCATCAGTCATAGGCCATCAATACCCATTTTTGCTCTGCTACTAGGACTACTATGAAATTGTGTGTACTTTATAAAATCAGCTTGTTTTTACATGGCAGTACTATTATTTTGCTAGATTAAATATATTAATCTAAAAGAATAATTTAATTTTCAATAGAATTCTTCCTAATGCTACACTTTTACTCTCCCTTCAATTTCTATCCAGTATGTATATGCGATGTGCGTATACTTTACATTACTTATAATACAGTTTCTAAGTTTGTAGAACTTAGTTAAACCTATAGAAATTTATTCTTGGCTCCATATAACCTTTTTTTCATATTGTTCCTTGCCATTTTTTCTATGATTCTCCAAATTGCTTTAAATAAGAAGTGGTTTCAAAACGTAATTTAGATGCACATGTGATGTGTGAAAAAAATAGGAGATAAGAAATATAAGTCTGGCACAAGAATGTGGAGGAATCTGAGCATACATAAGTCTAATGCAGAGTTGGAATAGCCATGATGGGACACAATCAGCATATGAACAAGCCGTTTGGGTCTATATTTTATTGAAAGATCCACTATATAGTTATATTAGTACAGTAGAATTTAAAGAATGAAATGGATATGGACAGTGGAATCCTTGTCAAAGCAAGTTTCAATTTAAAAAAAAAAAAGGTCTTCAAGTTAATGAGTCGGTACTCGGTAGAACAGGGTTTAAGATATCACCAATGATCTGTAGGGAGACTGATGAGATTTGCAAGTACCGAGATAGTTGAGAGGATGAGATGTATAAATGGCCATTATCTGCATAAAAATGGTACTGGGATCCCATAGAAGTTATTAGATATCCCGGACGGAGAAGGAAGTGTCAGAAAGAAGAAAGAAGAGAGCCAGGATAGAGCAGTATCATAGAGAAGAACATATTGGTCTCTTTCGTTAGAGTAGATTTAGAAGAGTGTCGAGAGCATACACCAGATTCAAAGGTGTCTTGTAGAGAGGATCAAATTGGATAGACATTCAGGTGTACACTAGCGGTCAAAAAACATCAAGGCAGAGACATGTTATGGTTTGGGTTTTTTTATGTTGCATGGTTATTGCATGTTTGAAAGAAGTAAATGTCTGAGTCTCTTTTTTTCCCAAAACCCTGAGACTCTAATTAGTAAAACCTGATTTCCAATCATAGTCTTCTTACATCCCATATGCTGTGTTCTTGTGGTCTACTGCATGTCCACCACATCATTAAAAATATATTCTGTTCATGACCTCTTCTGTTAACAGTCAGTCTGGCTTCTCAGACTCAGCAAGACATAATTTTCCAATAGGACTCTACTGTCAACATTTCCACCTCAAATGGAGAACTCTCCTTCTCAACTACCCCTACTTACAATTGAGATTTGGCTTACAAATCTACTTCTCACCACTTACGATCTTCTTCATTCAACCCAAACCTTCTCTTATTCTTAACTCTTTGATCGCTAACACAAAGCATATTTTTGCACTAAGAGCACATTAGACATACCTCTACTTCAGCTATGAAGACCAATTAACTACCAAAGTAAATCCAGGATAAGGTTCTGGCAAAGGGCCAGGCAAAGGTTTATAAATAGAATATCCTAAACTTTAACCATCCCCTGCATATCTGTTAAATCCAGAATAGGAATAATATGGTGGCTGTGAGAGCGACCTAACTGCAACATCTATCACCCCATTGGTCACTAGGGTTGATTTGGTTAATCTGGCTGGTTAGGTGGGTGTTTCCTTCCTCCATTACAACTCCATGTGGTGAGGAATAAAAGTGAGGAATACGCCCTTGATTGCTTGGCCTTTTTGTTTAAAACCATAAGACAACCTAAGATGGAAGACTATGGCCCAAGGGTCAGATATGGAGTATACGAATAGTGAAGGGAGTCCTAAACTGTTAACCAACAAAGGGCGTTGACTCTGCTATGTGTGGAAAGAGGAAAGTAAATTGAGGAAAGAAAATTACAATATAATCTTGTAACACTACAAAACAGAAAAACGCATATCTCCCAAATTCAGCATCCACGGAAACGAGACATCAGTCGTAGAGGAGGCAGGCCCGTGACAATTGCATCACTAGGTCCACCACAAAAGGGGTGGGCACATCCGGAAATGTCAATACATGCCAGGCTGTCTATCTTTTAAAGTCTGGCCACTGAGGGCAGACCCTGCAAGGAGTTCTGAAACAATGCCCTTATGATGCACTCAATCATTACATTTCCGTGGTTTCCACAAGAGCAAGGCACCAATGAACTAAGTTGAGACGGGACCGGTAAATAAAAACTGTCCCACCAGAATCGAGGCATGAAAACATCAAAGGGGGGAGCGAATGCTGAAGCAATGGAATGAAAGTATTTCTCCTTATATAATATTCTCTATGATTCCTTATTGCTTCATTTAAACGCTCAGTCTTGCACCTCGAATTGATTTAGAAGACCCCTGTATGTATCTTTTCTTATAGTTTTATATTAAGATCTCACATAAGACTTACCTGTGTTCTACTATATAACACTTTCTGTTATCTCAATGACACTTGTGTAACCGTGTGCTAAAATGTTTAATATTGCACCATGACTTTTATTAAAGTTTCCCATTTTAAATGTTATAAAGCAAACATTCAAACAAATTAAAACATACATGTTTTTACAGATTTATTGACAAATTGAAAAAGCAGTGATAGGCATCCAGTTTAGGTTAATATGAGCAGCATTAAATAGTTTAACCCCTTAAGGACATGACATTTTATTTATTGGTCCTTAAGGGGTTAAATTGTCCTCTATTAGAGGCAAGACACAATTAAAAATAATTGAATAAAATAAAGGAATGCAAGAAGTTAAAACTAAAATAATCTAGTAACGTTGTCTGTTTTTTTTTGTTTGTTTTTTTTTTTTATGACAAATTTAAATATTTGATATTCGTCAGGTTGTTTGCTAACCTGACAGATAACTATACATAAGTAATTTTGCCTATTGGAAAGGTAAATTACTTTTGAATAGAAATACAATTTTTTTTAGTAACGAGATCAACAAAAACTAGAGGCGACCACCATATTCTAACTTTTATTCCGTAATTTCACGTAAGGAATAAATTGCACCAACTTGGATTTATCTGTCTTTTTATAAAATAGACAGATTAAAATATTTTTTAAAAGGGTTCCAATCTGTGATCACTTCTGGTATAGAGTCTCCCGGAGACCCATATACTTTTTTGTGGTGGTGTTGGCTTATAGTTCTTTTCCTTTGAGGTTAGTTAAGTTATAAAAGTCTTAAACGTTTACTTATTTTGAACACACACTGCCTAGCACTGCTTCAGGGTATAAGACACACAACATCTACTACTACTGCCACACACAGACACTGTACAAATAGATAATTATGTGCATTTCAGCAATCACCTCCTTTTAATAGCTATACCTTGAGGTTTGGCAGTGCTGAGAGGTTTTTGCGTTGGCTTAACTGATATGGTACTAGTGGCTGGCTTGGCCTTAGTGGTTGTTTGTTTAGTGAATGGCCGAGCAGTGGTAACTTTGGCGTTCGTGGTCTTCTTCACGCTGCTCATGGTGGTGGCCGAGCTTGTATGTTGATCTTGTGGCAGAGACGCCGAAATGACTTCCACAATCCAGTTTCTGACTTTGCTCACTCTGACATAGACCCCGGGTCTCCTGGCCTCAGCACATCCTACGCCCCAACTCACAATGCCAGCCAAGAAAAACTTCCCGGATGCCTCTTCACAAACCAGTGGACCTCCTGAATCACCCTGCAAACACAAAACAAACAGCAAAATATTAATGAAAAATCCAGCAGGGACTGGTGAAAAAAGACACAATCATAGTTGCCACCAGTTCAGAATTTGGCAAAATAGTTATAGTTTGTGGCCTGTCCCACAATTCTAGGACAGGGGGCTGCCCTAAACTCTACATCAAAAGATGACTGTCACCTCAATATTTATTTTTAATATAATAATCCCTTCATCAAGTTTTGGCAAGGAAATGGAGATAGTCTCTATGATCTTCCCTGCTACTGTATTGGAAGTGAAGCAGTAAAGATCATAGAGACTAACTGTTGGTTTTCAAACACTGTCTGACTCAAGATGTATGTTTATGGCTGAAGGAATTTTTTTTTTTTAATTATATGTACTCCAGTTAAAAAAAAAAATAGATCAGTTTCCTTCAAACATTTGGTGAAAGGATTATTATATAAAAAAAAAATAGTTTTGAGGGGACAGTTGTCCTTTAAGTGAATCCAAGGCATCTTCACCTACAGATGAGCATTTAAAAAAATATTTTTTTGCAGTGCAGGTAGTTACAGGCAAGTTTGTGCTGCCGCAAGAGCCTCCACAGACATATATAATCAAACATAGAAGTACGTAGTCATGGCATGGAGATACTTTGCACTATTTTTTGGTAAGGTAAGGTAAAACAAGATGGGGTAGCTTTATGTAACATTAGTGATGCAATTGCATAAGTTTGGGGTTAGTAACATTCAGGCTGATCATGCACGTCTAGGCGTTAGACTGTGGATATCTTGTCAACGGAGAAAAATATCAAGACATACAAATAGGCTAGTATTTATACTATGATCTTACATTTTACATGGTGTAATAGCTGATTAATAAGACACGTGTCGCATGCTAGCTGTTATAAAAGATCATGACTGATAAAAACAGAATAAGCTAACATGTGTGGCTGTTGGATGAAATGTAAGTCAGGCATAGGAAGGCCTAACAATTGTGTCTGTGTAGAAAATGACAGCTATGGTCCTAGACATACTGGGCCCACTAGACTTGTGGGGTATAGGTAGGTGCAAAGCCATAAAGCCATTTGGTACGTGAACTGGGAAGATTACCACTTAAGGTTAGGCGTATCCCTGATGAGGCATTTGAATCAGCGGCAATCTCACCAGTCAGGATAGACCATCTCAAGGATCTCATCGTAAACTTTTCAACATTACAAATTGTCTGAGGCAGAATTTGTTTTAAAGGGAAACTGTCTTTCCTATATTTTTAATACTATGTTTACTTATTGCTATATTTATATTTAAGGATGAAATGAAAAATGAAATGTTGAAATACACACCACTATATCCTGCAAGTGAGCCCTCTGTCTCTCCGTCGGGCATTGCTATTTGTTCTAAACTTTTCGCATGACAGCATATCGAGACGAGGAGAAATGAAACAATGTTTCTATCTCTCCTCCTCATTTGCAATGTTTGCCCCGGCTTTGTCTTCACTGAGCTGGATTATGTAATTTGCTAAATCGTTCAATAAATTTAAAAGAAAATTGAGCATAATAAAGTGGAACAAAAAAGCAGAAATGATAGGTGATTTTCAGTGTTTTCTTCAATTGGAGTAAATTCCAGAGAGGTGACACAAATTACTTAAACAATTGAAAGAATATTACAAAACAAAAAAACAAAAACGGAGAGGTTTGCATTTCGCCCGTTTACAGTTAAAGAAATCAAACATTGCATGAATAAAAAAAATTTAATAAAATAAAAAAAGTAATTTTCTGCTTTCTGAAAATAATATAAATGCACTGCATTCCTTATCTAGGATTAACTGTTAAAAATTCTGTGCAAGCATCTCTGTAGCGTTCACAGCCCGGCACACAGAGCGCAGAAGGGTCGAAACTCCGGGGCAGAACCGGCTTCTTTTACAGTCCTATTCACACCTAATGCTGCAAGTCATGGCACCCTGTGCACACTAGACTTCTTGTTATGGGCACAAACTGCAACTCTGAATATTAATATTTATATGGCGCCAACTAATTCCGCAGCGCTTTACAATATTACGAAAGGGCGGGGAATTTACAACACATGAGACAATTACACAGTGACACAGGAACGATAGATCCTTCTCTCCTTCCTATAGCTTTTTATCCCTCTTATACTATCTGGCATCAATCAGATGTTAACTTGCTTTAGAAGTTTTTATCATATGCACTGTAATCACACTTTGGAGGCTCCTGCAAAGTTTAGCAAGCTATTAGCAGGGCAAGAGATAAAAATAAAATTTAAAAATCTACATTAAACAGCATTTGCAATAAAGGAAGTGTAAACATTAGATCTCACTTTACAGGAAGTGTTTAGTAAGGCTGTGCAAGTCACATGCAGGGAGGTGTGACTAGGGCTGCATAAACAAAGTGATTTAACTCCTAAATGGCAGAGAATTGAGCAGCGAGCCTGCAGGGGCATGGTCTAAAGTAAACTAATTTAGAACATTCCAATCTATACAATAAGCACACATCCTAAAGAAAAATATGTCAATATTATGTTAACATTAGTATTATACCAATCTATATTGCTCATTAATTAAAGGTAATAGAGAGAACTTTAAAGTTATCTTCTTGTACCGACTGTGTCCTCCAGGCTTATTAAATATAGCCAATGAATGGTACTGATAGGAGTTACCATACGTCACGGTATAAAATATTATTGTAAAACACTGGTCAACAGATTAAGAGGGTAATTTACTGAAGTGAAAATTCAAAGTTAATTTCATATTTAAGGACAAAGTAGCCAACCTCAAAGGATATCAGATTTAGAGAATCTCCCATTAAGGCTGTTTAGATCTTAAATTTGAAATTAATTTTGAATTCTCATGTTAGTAAATAATGCTGTAAAATTAAGTCTTTTCAATAATGCAGAAGCTTTAGTTACTGAATTTTCTAAATAAAAGTAAGGAAACCTCCCTGGTCAGTATGACCAAGGCCAAACTATTTCACACAAAATACAGAATATCTTTTTGTAGAATGCGTAAAATAAGTAGGTGTGTCTCCAGTATTTAGTTTAAAATATGCACTTTGTAATGGTGTCTGTTTTCTGTAAAAAAAAAAACAAAAAAAAAAACTAAGCTTTATTGTAAATAAATAAAGTAAATCTTAGTTTACCTGACAGGAATCAATCCTTCCCTCCAGATATCCAGCACACAGCATCCTGTCAGTCACCACATGGCTGTATAAGCTATTACATAATGTCTGATCCATGAGGGCAACCGTAGCTTTCTGTAGAACTTCAGGCTTCACAACTAAAACGAGACAAAGAAAAGATTTATGGATCATTGTAAGCAACACAGGACAAAAAAATCCAGCTTGCTCCATGTTCAACTTATGGGAAGCTTAAAAAACCTATTCATCAGCTGCTGGCCCACTTAAAGGGACGCTATGAGCACCAAAACAACTTTAACTTAATGAAGCAGTTGTGGTGTATAGATTATGGCTCTTCAGTGTCACTGCTCGGTTATCTGCCATTTAGGAGTTTAATCACTTTGTTTATGCAGCCCTAGCTACACCTCCCCTGCATGCGACTTATACAGCCTTCCTAAACACTTCCTGTAAAGAGAGATCTAGTGTTTATCATTTCCTTTATTGCACTGTTTGTGTAAATTAGAAGTTCCTATATTCTGCTCTGTTAATAACATACTAGAGCCTGGATGAGCCTTCTATGTTTGATTACAATTCAATTAACAGAGTTGGAGATAAGTACTTCTAAAATAAACAAGCTGTGTTGTCACATCTTGAAAATGAAACCATTTTTTCATGGAGGCTGTGTGAGTCACCATCAGGGGTGGTGTCACTAAGGCTGCATAAAAGTGATTTAAGTTCCAAATGGCAGATGATTGAGCTGTGAAACTGTGGGGGCATGATCTACACATCAAAACTGCTTCATTAAGCTAAAGTTGTTTTGATGCCTAAAATATCCCTTTAAAATAAAGTTGTTTTGGTCCTTAAAGTGTCCCTTTATATATCTAGGTGGAGTGTGCACTAAAGCATTTTGAGTGAGCAGTTTGAGGAGCTATATTCTATTATGATACAGTTCTGTACCTTTCCTTCCAATAATTCCACAGAAAAATTAAGTACCACAAATAATAAAATAAGCATTTATTAAGGGTTATTTTACTGACCCTTTAAAGATAGCTTGGGGAGAGTGATGGTCAATGATTTAGAAATATAGTCCCTGATTTGGTGCACAGTAGGAGTGTGACATTGATATTCAATAACTTAGAAGGACAAATGAATAGAAAAAGAAAGATACCAAAACAAAGACGACCAACTCTAAGAGTAATTATTGATAAGCCAGGGGATTTAACGAGTCATAGAGTTATCAGTTAATGATTGCAACCAAGACTCATCTTAATTGTGCTCTGACAAATCCACATCTTGTCTTAATAAATAATCTTACGGTTGTCCTCTTTGAGGTATCCCCAACCAGTGATGATGCACTTCTTGCCCACGGTGAAGATATGTGTGGAAGCTGGGAGACAGACCGGCTGGGTAAACTTGTTGAACTTCAGAGGAGAATCCAGTTCCAGTACAGCCACATCGTAGTCAGCAGTGTCTGGATCATACAAGGGGTGCTTGATGATGCTTTTAATAGATGTTTTGACAGTGCCACTGTCCGAACCACTCAAGAAAGTAGTCCCAATGTAGGCCACCCACACAGCCGGATCCTGGAAGCTAAGGGAAATTTAAAGGGGGGCTATTACTTCTCTAGACATTATATTATTGAATAAAACAGTGAAAATTATATTATTGAATAAAACAGTGAAAATCACCTTTAACTTGTTTTAACATGTTTTCATAGGACACAATTTTTTTCTATATATTTCTATATATATTAAAGATTTAGCAAGTGACATTACAATAAACTTCAGCCAAGGCACAGCCAGGGCACACGATGAAAATGAGGAGATCAGAAACATTGTTATTATCTATGTTCAAAGGCATTTATAACTATCACTGACAAGGAGTCAAGAAGGTTTTTAGTTGGTAAAGAAACAGAAAGTTATAGAACATACATTATAAGCTTTGGATGATATAACACATGCAGATGAAAGGTTGTGTATTAGCAAAGAGGTCTGTGTATAAAGCGTATGGATGTTACATCTCGTATAACACAGAAATCCTTTGGGTGCAAGACAATATAGAGAGGTAGTGAGGAAACTCAATGTGGTTTTTGAACCTAGAGAGCTATGAAAGGGGGTTGTAACTTACTCGTTGAAGCAGTGAGCGGCAGACACCAGCCACTTCTCACTAATTATGGTGGCTCCACAGAAATGCTCATTGTTCTCCCTTAGGCTAACCTGCCATGGAAACTCTCCCTTAGCAGCATCTGATCCACCAACTATCCGATTGGCTTTCTGCATGGCAGGCCGGGTACCACAGTCTAAAATGGGCAGAAACAAAACAAAAACAAAGTTCAGAATAAAGGTGCATATGAAGAAACGTTGTTGTGCGAGCCTTGTGAAGATCAACTCTCTTGCCCAGTGGCACCCAGGGTCTAACCTAATATAGGGGCTGTATGTACCCATATGGGCAAAGTGTCCCCAGTCCTAAGCCACTGTTGTAACTAGGATATTTTCCCTGATCTCAATATTCTGTATTAGTTAGAGAACCCTACAAATTATAATTTGTGGAGCACCTATATCTCATGATAAGAATAGTGATTGCTATTTGCTCTTCTAAATCAGGGCTTGACAACTCTAGTTAGCCAGGTTGCCATGAAATGGAGCCTGGTGTCTAGCAATTTGTCTATTTGCTTCATGGCAAGCCACGTGAAGCAGTAATAAAAAAATTATAATAATACAAAAAAAGTGGAGCGTCAGCTTTTAAGATGATGGTGGTGGTGGTATGTTTACGAAGTAATAGAGTGGTTTCCACAGTGTGCAGGAAATTTAAAGAGTTGTGTTAGTTTGCACACAGACCAATTAAGTACACAAGTTAATGTGTGCTAAAATGTCATTTTAATACGATAACTACAGGTAACCCAACTTGGCTTGTAATAAATAGATGCGGTGCAATGGCAGCAAATCTGTTTTGCGGAAAAACATTGGTTGCAATGGTACCTGAGTTACAAAGAAGCAATGCTAAGTCTCACAGGATGAAAAAGAATTATTTTGGCAGTTTTGCTAAGCTGATGGGAAGGTTAGATGTACTTACTGCACTTTGTTTCATCTGAGCCATCTTTACAGTCCTGAAGATTGTCACACTCCGGGTTTTGTTTTACGATGCACTGCGTATTTTTGCAGGAGAAGACATGAGATGGGCAACTTCCTAGAGAGGCATAAAGCAGGTAATTAAAGTGATAACCACTGGGATAACGCATACATAATATTATTTTGTTTAAGCAAATTTTATTTTTGACAGGTATAGATTAGCCAGAGGGTCTTGGACATTTTGGCACCATCTAAATTGTATAACCAACAGATGGTGCTTTAATGATATTTTAAACGATATTGCTAAAATTCCAAACCCTTAAATATGATCATTAGCCATAAAAAAACTCATTCTCACTAAACTTAATCACTAAACCTAATTTTTCAACACCTAACTAACCCTAGCCCTACATCCTACTCCTATTACCTCTAACCAGGCCCACAACGGCCAAGGTGCAAACAGAGTGAAAGCCTGGTGGGCCACGATGGCCTTGGCCCAAGGCCATCAGGGAAGATCAAAGGATCTCCCCGACCGGCCTCTGCAGGGCTGGCACTAGTCGAGTATTCAAGATAGGAGGAGTGGAGGGAGAAAATTAACAAAAGACAACAAATTTGTTGCCCTGACTCCCATATCAGAGTATTACTGCGGGTTACCATGGCGACGCTCGGATACTTTCCAAGGCACAGACAGGAAGTAGATGTCGGCAACTCCGGGGGGTGCAGACAAGTTACTTTTCTCACTGGACCACTACGTACATCGTTCCCCCGTCTCTAGCCCAAGGTAAACCACAGAGAGGGAGTAATAAATGTTTTTCTTAATTAAAATATATATTATTTTTATACTTGCTCCTCAACAGTCCCTTGGTCCCTGCCGCCACCCAAAACAGTACACCTCCTAACCCACAAACTACAGACCTTATCACCTCTACGTATTACATGGTAATGATAATCTCCACCGTAGGTTGCACCATATTAGCAGCAAATGTATCTCCCATTCCATCACTGTCCAACAGTGGAATTGTTTGCAGCCATACACAAAATGTAAGATGATTATAAAGACCACCATTTGCAGCAGCGATTAAAAAATAACAGTAGTTTTGCCTCAGTTCAAATGTACCTTAAATTCAAAACAGATTCGTACCTGATTTAAGGCCAATGGAGTAGAAGGACAGTCCTCGGTTATCTGGGATAAATGAAATAAAAACAGAAATTTAGCAAAGTGTCAGAGATGGCCTCAGCATTCCCTAGGAAGTCTAATGTTACAAAATAATTGGCATTTACAGATTGCAGGCGCCAATACACGTGTAGCAGAGCCCCCTCTTTAACCATTACTAATGCACAAACGATTTCAAGGATATTTGTGAGTTAAACTATGATTTCCTAGGAATATTTATTGAAACCCTAACTATTGAGTTAATCTTGAGTTAAACAATGAACGCTCGTTTAACCCCTGCAGCGGTGTCCTTAAGGGGTTAATGTTGCTCAAATATGCAGATGACTAATTCACAACCTGCTCACATTCTTTGAAAGGGAGTTATTGTCCTCTTTTAAAAAAATTTTATAAAAGCAGGCCGCTTCTTAATCATCTCTCTGTAATCCCCCAGTACCTCTACTTTTAAAAAAAAAATAATTTTTCATTTACTTCAATTGTTCTTGGCGTCCTTAAAAAGAGTCTGGACCTCTCTGTCATCGCTCAGATTACAGAGTGATGTTGGCAGACGTTCAAGGTCTCTGTTACCATATTAATGGCACTGCCTCTTTTAACCCTATTGTATGAAATACGTTCACGTTACGCAGAGCCTTATCTTCAGGTTTGACAAATAACGAATTTATCCTAATATCTTAGTGATCAGCGACTAGCTCAAGGATACAATCTCTAGATATTTTTAATTAACCTTGACTTTGTACATAGTTTGTGAATTCTTACAACCGATGGCAAATAAATATTTGTTTGAAGACTATGAATGATCAATTACTATTACATTATTAATTGAGCCATAGTATAAAAACTCTATAGTAAGAAATAAAAGTTAAAAACAAACAAACAAAAACTCACAGGGTTATTCCTTAAAATGCACATTCAAAATAAATTTTACATTTTAGGCCAAAAAAGACAAATTGGAATAATTCTCTAAATTAGCTAGGTTTCCAATTCGGCTACTCTTGACTAAAATTTGGAATTCACATTTTAGTGGATAACCCTGTCAATATCACTTAATTAGAAGATCGGGGTCATCATCATATAGAACAAAAGTCTGCCGAATTACATTCTGAAGTGAACTAATACGGAGTCTAATAATCAGCTCCATAATTTTAGTACATTTTATTCTATTCTTGTATAGCAGGGGTGCCCAAAAGGTAGATCCCCACATGTTTTAGAACTACAGCTAGTTTAACAACATCCGGGAATCTACCTTTTGGGCACCCCTGTTGTAGAGGAAGCCAGGAGCGTCCCGTCGTAACGTGAACTTACCAGCCAACACAGCAGAAGAGATGTTCCCATAACTGGAAACCGGAATGGGGTGTCCATTTAACAATGACGTAAGGCCTTGTCTGAGAATGTCTTCAATCTGATCATGGCTCTTGTGGCGGGCAGAATCCAGAAACGTCATCCTGAGATGGGCAATTATACTACGGTTCCCCCTGCTGTGGAACGGATCACAAAACTATTAGCAACAGCCAATGCTTTTAAGTCACATATGTTTTTTTTTTTTCATTTCCAAGCACTGTGACCACTTTAGAGATTTGAAGTGGTGATGGTATCTGGAGTCTGCATGTCTAGCGTTTCGCTATGATATGGAGATTCGCCCCTCCACCAGCGGCAGCATCATTGCTGGTTTGATGCAATGCGTGCCATTCATTGGCTGAGAACAGTCAGCTCTTAGCCAATGAATGGCGACTGGTTCATCTTTCAGCCTCTGTAGTTCTGCAGCAGCAGGAAGTGAGTCACCCAGAAGGATAGAAGTCTCGTGCCACATTACCGTGGAATCGGGCTGGGGTACTCCGGGCGTCATAACCATTGCAGCGGACTTTATTTTAAAATATGAAACCCCCATGTGTTCCAGAACCACTTCAAAAGTAATCCAGCCTACGTAATCTAGTTGTATGCTCACCTGTACTGTACAATTGTAAGTCCTGCATAACTGTCTTTGAGAATTGTATCCTCAAAACTGGATTGCAACTAAAACAGAATAAAGAATAGATTAATACACGGAGCTACATTCTTCGATCCGTCATCCTTTAGTATGTAAAAAACTCAGTCTCAGTTTGTGCTGATAATCTATTGTCATGAGATTTCCTTAAATAATCTACAACAACAACAACATATAAATCCAGCATGGAATGAATGGATCCTGAAAATCTGAATTAGGAGTACTTTTGCATTACACAGAAATAAAGAAGGACACTATAGTCACCAAAACAACTTTAGCTTAATGAAGACATTTTTGGTGTATTGACCATGCTCCTGAAGTCTCACTGCTCAATTCTCTGCCATTTGGGAGTCAAATCACTTTATTTATACAGCCCTAGTCACACCTCCCTGCATGTGACTTACACAGCCTTCCTAAACACTTCCTGTAAAAATTAATCTAATTCACACTTCCTTTATTGTACATTCTGTTTAATTTACAAAAATTTTTTATCTCTTGCTCTGTTAATAGCATGCTAGACCTGGCAGGAGCCATTTAACTCCTAAATGGCAGAGAATGGAGCAGTGAAACTTTAAAGGCATTATCTATACACTAAAACTGCTTCATTGAGCTAAAGTTGTTTTGGTGACTATAGAGCAGGGCCGGACTGGCCCACCGGGATACCGGGAAATTTCCTGGTGGGCCGCAGCATCTGGGGGCTGCACTGCGCATATGGGTGCCACCGGTGGCACACTCAGAGGGGGCCAGCCGCGTTCCCTGCTGGAGCCGCCGGGCCAGGTGGAAGCCTCGCCATTCCGGCGGCACTACTGTCACTGATGCTGAGGGCTGAAGGAGGAGGGAGCGTGTCTATCTACCATGCTCTCTTGCGGTTCCCACAATTCCCAGCACAGCATACATGCTCCTCCCTCCTCTTTCAGTCCTCCGCATCAGTGACAGAGTGCCGCCGGACCGGCGAAGCTGCCACCTAGCCCGGCAGCTCCAGCGTAGAACGTGGCCGGCCCCCCTGACTTCTCTCGGTAAATGGGGGAGAAAAAATTAGGAACACACACAGAGGAAGGGAGGGAAAAATAAAACAGAGAGGGGGAATAGACACAGGGGAAGGAGGGAGAAAGCGACAGAGGGGGAAGAGTGAGACACGGGGGGAGAGAGAGGGGGGATAGAGAGATGGTGGAGGAAGGAAAAAGAGGCAGAGGGGAAGAGAGATGTGGAGGAGGGACAGACATAGGGAAAGGGGGGAGAAAGACAGAGGGAGAAAGGAGAGAGACACACAAGGGAAGGGGGAGAAAGAGGCAGAGGGGGAAGAGAGAGACTGGGAAGAAGAGGGGAGACATTGACACAGAGTAGCAGTGAGGGGGAGAAATAAACATACAGAGGGACTGGGGGGAGACAAAAAGGCACACAGAGGGACCGAGATAAAAGGAGAAACACATAGGAGCTGTATATATCACTGGTGGATCCAGGGGGGCGGGGGCAACTCCCCCCCCATGAGGCTCTCCCCTGCCGGCCGATCTCCCTCCCCGTTCCACAGGCAGGAAGAGAGGACCCGGGAGCTCAGCCTGCAGCTCCTCTGGGTCCTTCTCACGCGAGCACAGAGCATTGCCATGGTTACCACAGCAACGCTCCGGCTCTCACGAGAGTGAACTCTAGCCCTGGAGCTACTGGCTAGAGTACACTCTCACCACCACATTCCTGGTTGTCGCAGTAGTGAGTGAACTCGAGCCCCATACACACTGCCCCCACAAACACACACCATACACATTCACACTGCCCCCACACACACCTTACACATTCACACACTGCCCCCCCATACACTACACATTCACACACTACACACACACACACACACACACACACACACACACACTGCACCCCTCACACATTGCACCACTGCTCCTATACCCTACTACAGCCGCATATCCCAGCAGACCCCAGGTAAGTTGTCAAACTGTTCTTAAACAGTTTGACTATTCACTCTGGGAGGGGGTCCCGGCACTCCTGGCACCATAACCACTACACAGAGGAGTAGTGGTAATTGTGCATGGAATATTTCTTTAAATAATCTACAAGTGCCCCTCCTGGGATCAGGCCCTGGATCCGCCACTGGTATATGACATGTATATTAATGTGTGTATTAGAAATAGAGATATATATGTATAGAATTATGCCTATTATGTTTACACATATATTAATGTACATTTATATATGCATAATACACAGAGGAATGTCATTTATATGTACCATATGTAATGAGCAGATATTGGCCCAGTCTTGTTGCTAGGTGCATACTCCAGCACAATAACATATTTAAAGTGAAGAGCGCACCCACAAGACTTCAAAATAAACATTTTTTACAGTTGTGCCCTACATACATTCACCATTTCAGTCCCATTACCAAGCTTTCCTTAATATGTCAAGGTAGTTGGACTGAAACATTGATTACATGCAAAGGCACGTCTGCTTAAAATAAATCTGCACTTTTGTTTATTTTGAAGCCTATGAGTGCTCTTTTTTGCGTTGGAGTAATAATTTTTAATTTTAAGTTATCTGTTCTAACTCTGTATCTGCACACTATGCTGGCGCGACGCATTATGGGGCTGCTAAATATTTTTTTTCCAGGGCTGCTTTTAATTCTCAGTCTCTCTGTGTGATCGGTAGCTACAGAAGCTAAATCAAATGCTAAATATAAATGTGTGCAAACTTTTGAATACATTTGTGAAATGAACAATGGGTCAGAATTGGTGAATTGATTAACCAGATAAGTAGAGAATTGATAAGGAAATTATTATTTTTGGCCAAATTTGTGAAATATATATATAAAAAAAAATAAAAATAAAAATAAAAAAGGATTCATTTTTTTTATGCTCATCTATTTTTGCCTACATTGTGAAATATATGATAAGCTTCTATTAGGAAGACACCAATCAATCACCGAGCCTATCCTGATAATCTATCGTAAATCATGTTAGACTAAATAGAAAGCTAGTCCGCTCTGATCAACTAAAAATGTGTATCATAGTATATAAAAACAAGCACTGATAAAATTGTATTTGATCATGAATTATAAAGTACACAATATATTGCACAGTAACAAGCAGTGTATTTCCCCTTTACAATATATAAATATGTAGAAAACAAACAAACACTCTCTGTCCCTTTGACATGAGTGTGAAATAATACAGAAATCAAAAGGTTAGGGAATTACAATCGCAGATTTAAAGAGTTTCTCCAAGCCTTTTTATAACAATATATTTTTACATTTACAATTGCCTATAGGGCCATTACTATTAGGTCCCCAGCCCTCCAAACCCTGTGAAAAGATTTTAAAATGTGACTTAATCCACTCCTCCTCCTGACGTCACCCAGCACTTGTGCGGTCCAATCACAGGCTCCTCATAGAGAAGCCTGTGATTGGACGGTTTTGCTAGTTAATAGCACATGTGCGCAATCTGAGCGAGGGAAGGGTGGGGGAGGGAGGCTTTAAAAAAATAAATAAATAAAAAAATCATAAAAAAACGACTTATTAATGTAGTAGAGGGAGGCGGGAGAGAGCGCCCATCGGGTGGGAGGGAGGAAAAAAAATCGATGTTATCCTTGCAGGTGTTTCTAAGTCTGTCGGCAGTGAATTGATATTAGGCAATCCGAAGCAGAGTTCTGGGCTACATAAGTCACGTCACGTGTGCTGGGGGTGCAATAAAAAAATAACTGAAACACTGCTCTCATCCAGACTCCTACCCACCATGACCACTTCAAAAAGCAGAGGAGGTCGTGGTAGTTGGAGAAACCCTTTATTTTTACTGTAATGTTAGTAGCCGAAGACGAGACGTTAACAGTGTTGACTTGACAGTCATCTTCTCACTTTTACCATTGTCGGTTTGGTAAACATAGGACTATAGTATACGGTAAACACTTAGGTATCCTGAATCATAATCCTGATGAAGATTAATTATTAGTACTTTTAGTAAATTCAACACCTCAAGGGACTTGAAAACACTTTTCCAAAAATATCCCTATACACAAAAATAAAAAAATAACTTGATGACATGTCAGGCAAAGGTAACCAAGAATATCTTATTAATCAGTTAGACTAATTCAAGGACAAATAAGCATTTTAAATGCAATATTACATAATGAAGTCAACAAAATGCTAAATACACACATACACAATGCCTGGAAAAAAAAATCTAACACACATCGCAATGCCACCATGGAACATGGGTTAATTACACACCCGTCACTTATTAGCAACATTGATGCACTTGTCTGTCCGTAACCATCAACCTGTGATGTAATTGAAACCCAAACAGAATTAACAAATTATTTTGGGCGGAGTTTTAGAAAACGGCAGATAAATGGTTAGCTTCTGGCTGCTTTGATAACCGTTGTTATATACCAACTAGCCAAAAGTTATCAATCTGGTACCCACACTGGATGGTAATTTAGTGCAGTGTCTGATCCCACCATGAGTAATTTTAGTCAGGAAGTGAAGTGAAATGAAAATAATTATTTACCAGTCTCTGCAATGTAGTGGTTAATGATCGGTAGTACGTAGAGGTGCTATTCTGTAAACTGGCATCAAAATTAAGTCCTTGTACCTCCAACGTATGTACCACAGTGAGGCTCTGAGTTGTTAAATACACTGAAACATAGAAGGCAGACAATGAAATGACAATAACAATGCCTTGAATTAGCTATTAATGAGCGGTATGAGAAAAAAAACAAAAAAACTGATAACTATGGGTCCATTTGAAGCCTCCTCTGTGGTCTACAAAGGCTTCTTTGTTGTTTCATCTTATCTGAGAGCTAAATGATTTTGATTATAGTGCATTTCAGTTAAATGAGATCATATTATCAGGACAGAACCCTTTTTCATGGTGTTTGTAAATCACGTGTTATGAGTTTCAAGAGACACTCTGGGAACTATAACCACTACAGCACACTTGAGTGGTTGTGGTGCCAAGAGCCTCAAGAGATCGGTAATCTGTCAAACCATTTATGAACAGTTTGACACTTACCTTGTTGTGTTGGGCACCCATGGTACTTATTACTTCTTACTATAACAATGATAACAGTTATACCTGTAGTTTGTTACTGTGATTTTCTGTACACAAAGTTGCTGATTGCTATTTTCAGTGAATGTGTTCCACCGATATTTCATGAACACATAGTTATTAATATTTTGGCAGATAGAATCTGGTTGGTAAACTTTTCAGTCAACAAATGTTTATTCTACCCACTGCCTGCCTCTCTCCATGCTTTGCCCCTGCTACCTTCATATAACTGCCTTTTATCTCCATCCCTGTTCCTTAGGCCTCAGTCCACAACCCCAGTTAACAGGAATACTCAGAAACCTTTGCATTACCTATCCTCTCGCCCAGCCAGGTTCGTCCTAAATTTCTAACTGCTTCTCCAGCTGTTTGAGTTATTACTCAATAACCTCCTCATTCCCTTTACATTTTTCCATTAACTGCACCTTTCCTTTTATTTTTTTCTGTCCATCACTTCCAAACTCCCCCTGCTACCTCTAGTCTCAAATCTCCATTATAACCTTTCAAATGTAAGCTCATCGTCTGTCTAACCAAGCACTTTGTGTAAATGGGCTTCAATGGTTTGATCTCAGCTCGAGGGCAGGGCCCTTGTAATCGTTTGTGTTGGCCTGTATAAATTGTACTGTTTTTTTTACTCCAATTGTACAGAGCCGCGTACAATATTGGCGCTTTACAAATGCCAGTAGTAATTATAATACTGTTAAAATCTAGTATGCATATCAGATATATGAGTACCGCTTTATCAAACTAAGACAGAATGAAAGAAACACATAGATCCAACTGCAAGTTTGTTAAAGGACCACTCTAGGCACCCAGACCACTTCAGCTTAATGAAGTGGTCTGGATGCCAGGTCCTTCTAGGGTTAACCCATTTCTCAATAAACATAGCAGTTTCAGAGAAACTGCTATGTTTATCAATGGCTTAAGCCTTCCCCCTAATCCTCTAGTGGCTGTCTCATTGACAGCCACTAGAGGCGCCTGCGTGCTTCTCACTGTGATTTTCACAGTGAGAGCATGCAAGCGTCCATAGGAAAGCATTATGAATGCTTTCCTATGTGACTGGCTGAATGCGCACGCAGCTCTTGCCGCGCGTGCGCATTCAGCCGACAGGGAGGATCGGAGGAGGAGAGCTCCCCGCCCAGCGATGGAAAAAGGTAAGTTTAACCCCTTTTCCCCTTTCCAGAGCCGGGCGGGAGGGGGTCCCAGGGCACTATAGTGCCAGGAAAACGAGTATGTTTTCCTGGCACTATAGTGGTCCTTTAATAATTTGTTAGAATTGTAATACCCGGGGACTCCTGGAACCATAAACACTAGAGCATGCTGTAATGGTCATGGTGGATAGAATGTCCCTTTAAATAGCTATTTTAATGTTGTGTAGGTGTGGCAAATAGTTTTACAATACGTAACAAAATATTGCTTTTACCCAAAATTGTGCACAACTGCCCAAACCTGGTCTTGGTGAAGTTGATGCAACAGAATAATAAAATGCCACTTTTCTTGATATAAATCCAATTTGCAAAACTGTTAATGCTACATGCTGATCCATATCAGTGGAGGGGACATATTTATTATGGAGCTATTTTACTAGCAGCAATAGGTTAATTCCACCACTTATTAGCCTCTTAAAAGCTGCATTTAGCACGGTTTTAAATGCCAGTACAATATTAACCAAAGTGTAAGTGATGGTTCTATCAGAGAATGTGGCTGTACGAATTCCATTCTAATGGTATGCAAAGCATCATGGGGTTGTAGTTCTAAAACATCTGGGGACCTACTTTTTGGGCAGCCCTGCTCTAGACACTGATTTTGTACAGCTACAGGGCTACTACACTGACACCCAGTACCAGTCGAGGTTGCCAAGTAAGATTGTACGGGTCGATGATAAACAGAAAAAGAACTAAAGTGGTTGACTGGAAGGCTTACTTATTAATAATCCAGTTGTGATGCTGATAGTAATGCTTCCAAGCATTAGAGAAACCACTGTCCACCGGCAACATGCTGTCTCTGTAAACTTCACCTTGTCTGTGCCCAGCACAGGGTCTGTGTCCAACACGCTGTGACCTTCCATGGTAGCAGTAGATCTGCAGAGAAAATCCATTCACTGATGTTAAATGTATTTGCCTTTCCACAAAAACATACACAATTATCTCGGGAATTGTGTATTTTAAACCAAAACAGCAAAAAATTTAATTATATAAATAAATTACACAGCAGAGTTAAAGGGTTTTTCTAACAAAAAAACGTGTTTTAATTTATTTATTCGGGACAAAGTCAAGGAAATACATTTTAACGATGTACTGCAAAGATACAGTTAAGGAAATATACAAATATAGGTTCTTCTATTTTGCAGACATGTTTGTATTTGCTTTGAACACATCAAGAGGTTATAAAAAAGTTAAAATAAATAAAAATCATAATTGCGAAACATAAATATAAATAATCAACTGTCGGTATTATTTTTGTCTGTCAATTACAATTGTGAACACCATTCTATAATATATATATAGTGAAAAATTTTTGCACTACACAAATGTTAATAACAATAATGATAACATTAATATATTTTACAAAAAAAAAATCTACAAATTTTTGATAAAATACTTCCATTAAATAAGTCCATTGTTTTGGAATGATTTTTTTTCCTCACGTAAAAAGTGTAGCAATTACCCAGACCGATCCAAATTCAGCTTATTATTAATAAATACTTTGGTTTTAAGAATTTTAAGATCAGAAATTATATTCAAAATAAAATGTATGCAGTAGTCATGCATTTATGTATATGTTTAATATTCAAAAATTGCTAAGATTCTGGGTAAATTACATTGGTAGCAATAATAGGCTATGCCCTTCAACAATAGCGAGACATTTCCAATCATTTTGAGTATACAGAGGTAAAAACCAAGGATGTTGATAAGGAGAGGGATATTATACGGTATATTTCAAACAAGTGGGAATTATTCGTAATGGACTAGTGAATTTAATATTGTAGGTTAAAGTTGCCAAGCTAGGAAAATAGTAAAAATGAAAATCAAGCGCACTCCTTTATCTACTAAACAGCTACTTTGGTGCTGACAGATTTTGCTAGTTTTATTAAAAACACCTAATCTAGGCAAAAAACAATGGGGGTTTAGTTACATTATATGATCATACATTGCATAAGCCTGCCACAACGTCAATGTACCCCATCTTTAGTAGGTCCTACTCTAATAACCAACTGTCTACTAAATGAGCTACTCACTTGGGGAAATCCTTCCATCTGGAGCTCTCTGCAGTACAAGGCTAAATAGGGTCCTGAGATGAGGCACCTGTGACAGGGAGTGGTGCAAAACCAAGGAGCTGGCTAGACTCCTAAAAATGCTTAAGTGGGGTGCTGCTGGGGGCCAATAAATACAGTAAAAATGAAAATCCAGCGCACTTTTTAATAAAACTAGCAAAATCTGTCAGCACCAAAGTAGCTGTTTAGTAGATAAGAGAGTGCGCTGGATTTTCATTTATACTGTACTCAAGCTGGGGAAATAGCCCGGTTTCAGACTTTTTACATTTTTCGATTTTGGTTAAAACTGTTAAATTCTTCTTTTCGGTTTCCTACAATTCACAGTTTAGTAAATAACTATTATAGCAAGTGAATGGAAACTTGTATATATGGACTAGATTAGTGTATACCATGTGTCCTCGAATAACACATGGCATTTATTGTCACGCGCACCCTAACATTCCACAACCGAAGTGGCCATTTTGAAAGTTGGCAGTCAATTGACGTACAGGACAGAGCAAAAATTAAGCAGATTAAACCAAAGAAGGATTGAGATCCCACAGGGCCCTGGGGAGGTTACCAGCTTGCTCCCACCTTCATTCTTCACATATAGTATGGTTAATAGGACCAAACTAATTCATGGTTTTGTGGCCCCTGTCTATCCCTGGGCCCTAGGTGAATGGTCATTTTAGATTGCTTTAAAAGCTTTATGAATACTTTAATCTTTACACATACCTGCTGATTTATGTGCAGTTTGAGAATTGTACAGATTGCACTAAAATATACCAGAAAACGCACCCAGCTTGTTTTTTAAACATTAGTACACAATAGGAATTTTAATGGTCTACGTGAGATAACCTGTGACATAGTAACTTACTTCTAACTCTTCACTGTGCAGAGTAAAGAAAGAATAGGAAAGTATTGGGATCAATAAGCCAAAGGCAGTGGGTTACCCATTAGTTATGTCTGTAATTAATAAATTCGAATACTATACAGAATGATATATAATTACAGTGATTTGTATACATTTCTGAAGAACGTACTTTAAAGGCATTTTGTGCTAGTTAAGAGATATTGTCCCTATTTAAGTATAAAGTCCCACAGCTCTGTTTACCGCCTGAAATGGTAGAGAGGCTGAACGTAGGGGCACAATGGGGTCTTTGTTACGGTTTCACTCTACCTGTGCTACCTCTGGAAACAACTAAATTCCAGACATCTCTTCCCTCTGCCGCTGATTTTATCACAGTCGGAGGGGGAAAAAAGAGGAATTCTAGTAGATTCACATTATTATTATCAGGTACTATGAAACCGAGGGTAAAGGAACCACAGGAGAAGTGAAATTCATACTACATGTACGTTACACGGTTTTCTCACATTCTCTAATTCATACCTGTTAACCTGTGTAAGACTTAGTATCAGTCCGGCTCCGGCAAATTCAAGAATTGGGCTAAAAATGATGTTACATGTAATCAGAAAATGTCAGTTTTGCATTAGTTGCCGCAATGTACCCATGTACACACAAAGCAGTGGGTAATAATATGGTTTATTTTCAACGTGAAAATGTTGAGTTGTGAATGATTTTGTTCATTTTGCTGAAAATATAATATTACTGCTTGTGTGCATAGTTATATTGCAGTTTATAAAGTCATGCATTATTGCACCCTGCTATACTCAATGATGGAATGATGCTGGGTACATCTGTATCCCACACTAATCGTTTACACCAACGTATTCCGCTGTTCCCAGTGGGAGCTACAGATTCAGACTGCCAGATGTTCACTGCAACATGCAAAACCCTACTACACAGCTACACACAGAAAACACACTTCAACACACACACATAAAGCTACAAAATTAAATACACATTTACACGCACAATATATGTGGCCAAGCTATCAATGGATGTTGCTTTCAGAATTTGGGGGATAAGTGGCCATGGATCCCATTGAAGCATTTAGGGGTCAGAAAAGGCCTGCAGGACGGAACACAGGGGTAGGCAACTGTTGGCACCCCAGATGATGTGGACTATATCTCCTCTGAGGCTTTGCCAGCATTATGGCAGTAGGAGCATTATAGGAGATGTAGTCGACAACATCTGGCCGAAGGTTGCATACCCTTGGGTTAGAGTCTCAAAAAATCCATTTACTGATTTAGACTAATTTATCCACAACAATGTGTGAAATTATTCTCGTCTTTTAAATATCAACAACAAGATTGTGAAACAAATGCTGAATACAATTTAAATTCTGTCTATCAACTAAACATGTAATGAGTGTATCTGTTTCAACACATGTACGTGTCCTCCTAAATCGCAAATAAATTGGAAGACAAAATACAAATTTGAATAATAAACAATAAATAGTAATGAGTGGAGCACCAAATAATAGCTAAATGCAAAGTCAGTATTGCACACTGCTTGAGCTCTATCTGTATGTAGCAAATCAGTTTAAATACCTCCCAAATATCCCTATTTAAGAGGGACAGTCCCTATTTAAAGGCCAAATTCCTCTGTGCCACTGTGAGCTTCGCAGCAAGAATACTCATAATAACATGTCTTTAAACTGCACCAAATGAGTTTAGAAATGTCTGTTAATAAGGTACATTGTTCTTGTTCTAAATTACATTTTAGTTGCAAAAATTATTAGTGAGTCACCTAAAATTTCTCAGAACAGCCCGCCCCCATGTATTCATTGAAGAACTTAATAAACAAGTTCTAAAGAGATTCATTCTGCTAGCTGTGAATAATACTGACTTTGGTTTTAGCCACCATTTATTCCACTCTATTTATTAAAAACTAAAATGACGAGTCCATCATAGACTTTCGAGTGGGTAGTTGGCTTATGCTGTAACATTGCTGCTCTGGATGAGTGCTTAGCCACAGTAACTTCAAATAAGATTGGTAATAATTTCCTTTACTCTTATGGAGTGATTCAATACTTTCTTTTAAATTTAAGGTCAAAATAGCCAGCTATACTTCTAGTTCAACTACTCGGGCCTTAACATTTGAAACTCACTTTGAATTCTCCTGCTGTCAGCCCTGAATGTTGGGGATGTGGCGGAGAGATGGGCACCAACATTCACATACGGTGGAACTGTGAGCTAATTCGGCCCTTATGGCAGAAAATACACAAGACCCTGACTCCATAGGCAAATTTAAAAGATCAATTTTGAAACATCATAGAGATGATGCAGCTCGCTGTTCTATAGCAGTGGAGGGAGGGATCCGTCCTCTTGATCAGGGAATGGATTGCAAGGGTTGAAGAGATATACTCCATTGAGCAGTTATGGTTTCCAGCAACCACCAGAGGTAAATGTCTACCTGGTTACATTGGTCCATCCTTATAGAATCCCTGTAGTACTAGCTGGTTTTCCCTGGGGTACTAGCTGGTTTTCCCTGGGGTACTAGCTGGTTTTCCCTGTAGTACTAGATGCTAGTTTTCCCTGTAGTACTAGCTGCTGGTTTTCCCCGGGGTACTAGCTGCTGGTTTTCCCTGGGGCACTAGCTGGTTTTCCCTGTAGTACTAGCTGGTTTTCCTTAGGGGAACCAACTGGTTTTCCCTGTAGTACTAGCTGGTTTTCCCTGGGGTACTAGCTGGTTTTCTCTGGGGTACTAGCTGGTTTTCCCTGGGGTAGTAGATGCTGGTTTTCCCTGTAGTACTAGCTGGTTTTCCCTGTAGTACTATCTTTTTTCCCCTAGGGGAACCAACTGGTTTTCCCTGTAGTACTAGCTGCTGGTTTTCCCTGTAGTACTAGCTGGTTTTCCCTGGGGTACTAGCTGCTGGTTTTCCCTGTAGTACTAGCTGGTTTTCCCTGGGGTACTAGCTGCTGGTTTTCCCTGTAGTACTAGCTGGTTTTCCCTGTAGTACTATCTTTTTCCCCCTAGGGGAACCAACTGGTTTTCCCTGTAGTACTAGCTGTTTTTCCCTGGGGTACTAGCTGGTTTTTCCTGTAGTACTAGCTGCTGGTTTTCCCTGGGGCACTAGCTGGTTTTCCCTGTAGTACTAGCTGGTTTTCCCTGGGGGAACCAACTGGTTTTCCCTGGGGTACTAGCTGCTGGTTTTCCCTGTAGTACTAGCTGGTTTTCTCTGGGGTACTAGCTGGTTTTCCCTGGGGTACTAGCTGGTTTTCCCAATTGACTCAGGGCTATGTGCTGATTGGTCTTAAGTCTTCTGATTGGGTGTCCTGTGTGATCCAATTTTTTCCCTCTTCTTTCCTATCCACTCACCTTGCCTCTTTTCTCTTCTTTCTACTTGTTCTATGTTTTCTCTCCTATTTTCCCCCTCTTTGTTCTTCACGTATTGATCATTCATACACTGGTTATTAAGACCGAGATTGGGCAATCTCTAGGTCTGAAACACTGTAATTTTTTAATCTTGTTTTTGGTTGTGTTGTACACAGGTCCGGTGCAAGGACTTCTGTCTACACAGGCGAAGACACATTTTGCTGCCCCCAAAATGTATCTTCACCTGTCTGTCTAATATTCCCACTTTTGCCCCTCTTACCAATTATTTTGCCCCTTTGCATCTTACCACCTTTTTCTCTTGTTTTCCTTTTTTGTATATTGTATCCTGTCCGGCATTATTTTTTACGTGTTTTGTGTCTTCATCCTACTTTTCTTTACCCCCTTGCGTCACACACTGACCATAACACACACACACTGACCATTACACACACACACACTGCTAATACACACACACTGGCTCTAACGCACACAGTCTCTTACACACTTGGACAGCTTATACACACTCACCAGCTCTAACAGACACACACAAACAGTCTCTTACACACACTGCTTATACACTCTCATTAGCTGTAACACACACACAGTCTCTCACTCACACACACACTGCTTTACACTCACACAGTCTCTTACACACACACAGTTTATAGACACACACTAACTCTTACACACACACACACACACTGGCTATAACACGCACACACACACACTAGCTCTTACATACACACACTGGCTCTAACACACACACACACATTAACACACACACACTAACTCTTACACACACACAAACTCTTACACACACACAAACTCTTACACACACACACACTGGCTCTAACACACACACACTGGCTCTAACACGCACACACACTAACTCTTACATACACACACTGGCTGTAACACACACACATTAACACACACACAAACTCTTACACACACACACACACACACTGGCTCTAACACGCACACACACTGGCTCTAACACGCACACACACTAACTCTAACACACACACACACTAACTCTTACATACACACACTGGCTCTAACACACACACACACACTAACTCTAACACACACACACACTAACTCTTACATACACACACACTAACTCTTACATACACACACTGGCTCTAACACACACACACACACACACTAACTCTTACATACACACACACACTAACTCTTACATACACACACTGGCTCTAACACACACACACTAACTCTTACACACACACTAACTCTTACACACACACACACACACACTGGCTCTAACACACACACTTACTGTTTCTTATAGTTGCAAAACAGAGGTCCCGCTGCACTGTTGTAGCTTTCCTACACAGCAGTTGGCCGCCGGGATATGATGTCACGTATCCCAGCGGCCTGTAGCTCAGAAAGAGAGTTGCCGCGGTCGCTCCTCGCTGTTCCGCCCCCTTCCCTCAGTGGGTGCACGTTTCTCAGCCAGGTGATTAGATTGCTGCAGAAATTGACCGGCGGGAGCGGAGTTCTCCGTGCTCCCGCCAGTCACTCGGACATTTTTGCGCCCCTTGGGTCCGTGCACCCTAAGGCGGCCGCTTGTGCCGCCTTATGGTAGCGCCGGCCCTGGTTGTACATATTAATTTAATGGCGTTTACTCTGCTGCAGTGCGATCACAGTGTTTTCCTTCTGTGTATTTATTACTCTCTCACTGGCTGGAACTTGAACCACACTATTTGTATTTTTCTTTTCATTTTGTTTTTGTTTATTTTGTACAGCTCTCCAAACAAATCCCAAAATAAATACTAATACTATCTAATACTATCCTTACCTTTTTGTGTCATTTTACCCCACTCCCTCTAGCATGTAAGCTCATTGAGCAGGGCCCTCAACCTCTCTGTTCCTGTGTGTCCAACTTGTCTGGTTACAACTACATGTCTGTTCGTCCACCCATTGTAAAGAGCTGTGGAATTTGACGGCGCTCTATAATTACCATAATAATAATAATAATAATAATAATAAATCACTTTAGCATGTTTTTGAGGATATGAGCATGGAAAATGGGAGTTTACAACCCAGTATTTTATTCGGCTGGGTGTGCCAGGTTCCATACTCAGCATAGTTCTTACCCTTCTTCATGATTGACATATCCTTAGCGTTATCGAAAAACTGGTGTACACTCAAAAATTACAGTTAAAGGGACACTATAGTCACCAGAAGAACTGCAGCTTAATGTAGTTGTTCTGGTGAGTAAAGCCAGTCCCTGCAGCCTTTTTGTTATAAACACGGTCTTTTCAGAGTAAAGACAGTGTTTACATTACAACCTAAAGACACCTCCAGTGGCCACTCCTCAGATGTTCAGCGTTTCCACACTCTTTATGGAGATGCAGAACTTTCCTCATAGAGATGTATTGATTCAATGTATCTCTATGAGGAGATGCTGATTGGCCACGGTGGCGTTTGGCTCCACCCCAAGCCTGCCTCCTTAGCGGAGATCATCAGGATTGACAATCTCAGCCAAACCAGTGCTTTCCTGTGGGAAAGCATTGTGATTGGCTAAGATTATCACTTCTGATGATGTCAGCCAAGGAGGCAGATTAGGGGGAAAGCCAGCAGCAGACTGGGTAAATAAAGGTAAAATGTTACTATTTTTAGAGGGCAGGGGAAGGGGAGCACGGAGGCTTCAATATTTGTGTTCCTGACCCTATAGTGTTTCTTTAAGGTGCAAAAGAAGCAACATACATTTCCCCAAAGATTTAATAAATTGTGTTAAAAAACACAAAATAGCAAAGATGTAAAATTCCAACATTTTGACCCTTTGATGAGTTTCCCCCATTGTATCCCTTGGTTAACACAATGGCACTCAGCATACATCCTTTGCTGATTATGCTAAGAACCTCTGCGGTTAGTTGTATGCCTACCAAGCTCAATATGAAGTCAAAGGATCCTACATAAAATTGCTATAAGTATGTAGCAGGCCCTTTAGTAGGAGATTAGATATCCAATGCAGTGCTCCCTTCTACCAATCTGCTGCTAAAAATCTGTAGCCCAGCCAGCCACTATCTACCTGTGCGTCACCTATAGCGTCATTTTAACAAACAGTCTAGCCCAGCAATTGTCAGTATGGTAGACCATACCGCTACATCCCACCAGCACTGGCCTTTTTCTTTTCCTGCATTGAAGGGAATCCGCAGATCGGTGCTACAAAGAATAATCTCTGACAAAGGGAGACTGAACACACTGTGCTCTGGGCACAGTTTGTAATGAACCAACCTGAAACCTGATTTCCCTCATATTGCAGAGACGAGGAGTGAGAAAGAAAGTCACCTCTACAAATGCTCAACTCCAGTGACACCAGGTGACAACCCTGTTGACAGCTGCGTGGTTAAAGATCACCGTAATCTGTAAACAAAGTAACTCAATGACAGGACTGTGTGTAAGTAGTCGCTGTTGTTGTTGAGAGTTATCTTCGATGTTTAATGCTGGAATCAAACACCATAACAGTCTATAGCTATTAGATAGGGGCAGAGAATAGAGCTTTCTTGTCCATGTCTTAACTTATTATAGTTACATATATTTATGAAACGAACTTCAGCTATGAGTGCACAACCTTTCACCATTCCCACTGTGAAATCAAAGAGGGAGCTAGGCTTCCAGAACTACGAAACGGTTCACAGTGCCTATAAAAGATCTGGCAAACATGTACAGGACCTCTCATATAGAGTTATTCACCAAACACAGGATTTTGTCCACAGTCAAATGGCCAAACTCTGACCGCAATGGCAATTCTCATATTTACTAACGCCAGATACGACTGGAGTTCCGTCTGGTCATGGAAATCTGCTGCAAATACCCAGATGCATTCAGTGTCCTGATTAAAATTTTAGTGCTATTGCATCCAAAACCTATACAAAGTGCACAAAACCTATACGAAGTGCACAAAACCTATACGAAGTGTACAAAACTATACGAAGTGTACAAAACTATACGAAGTGCACAAAACCTATACGAAGTGTAGAAAACCTATACAAAGTGCACAAAACCTATACAAAGTGCACAAAACCTATCCGAAGTGCAAAAAACCTATACGAAGTGCACAAAACCATACGAAGTGCACAAAACCTATACGAAGTGCACAAAACCTATACGAAGTGCACAAAACTAAACGAAGTGCACAAAACTAAACGAAGTGCACAAAACTAAACGAAGTGAACAAAACCTATACAAAGTGCACAAAACCTATACAAAGTGCACAAAACCTATACGAAGTGCACAAAACCATACGAAGTGCACAAAACCTATACGAAGTGCACAAAACCTAAACGAAGTGCACAAAACCATACGAAGTGCACAAAACCTATCCGAAGTGCACAAAACCTATCCGAAGTGCAAAAAACCTATACGAAGTGCACAAAACCATACGAAGTGCACAAAACCTATACGAAGTGCACAAAACTAAACGAAGTGCACAAAACTAAACGAAGTGCACAAAACCTATACAAAGTGCACAAAACTATACGAAGACACACAAAGCACAGTTTTTTTCATAAAATTCAGAACCGAATTGCTTATTTGCAAGTGAAAGCTTATTTTAAGTACTAAAATCTTGTGCTGTCAGTGGGCAAATGGTGAAAAACCCTTGGCAATAAAAAAAAAAAAAGTTTAAAAAAATAAATTAATTCGGGCTGAATTAAGGAACTGCGATCCCACAGAAAATACAGTTTGAAATCCTACAAGGCTACTTAACATCACCTATTTAAGCACACAAATATAGGGATTCAGTCATATCGTATTTTGTATAAATTTTGGTCCTTGCGGGAGGTCACTCCTGAGAAATTCCAAATTGTTTTCTAATAAAGGAAATGTAGGCACTAATAACGATGATAACCCTTAACCCTACAGATATTTATGGATCACATTTCCCAATATGCCAAATCAGCAGAAGTCAAACAAACTGAAAACAACTAATTGCTAACTGAATACTGAAGATGTTTGTGAACGTAATACTCCAAAATGCTATGCTAACCGGCCAATTGAATTGACTGAGCATCATTGGAATGTAATCCACAAATGCCTATTTTGTAGCAAAAACAAAATTCTCTAACCTACTCTCACCATCCATAGTCTCTGTCCTTTGTATGTGATATTGCCAGGTTTATTCTCTGAACACCAAATTGTAGTGTACCGAAATTCAAATTTAGGCACCATGTGCTGATTTTGGGAAAATTAGCAAGCTCAGGTATGGCCCACAGGTTAGATGTTTTTTGTTATATGGGGTTATACAGGGTCAGTAAAGTGATAATTGTCCGAAATTCAAAGTGAAATCAAAATTAATTTCAAATTTAAGGCCAAAGAAGCTGAACTGGAAACCAAGCTCTCTTGGAGAATTTGTCCCGTTCACCTATTTTGGTCTAAAATTTGAAATTAAATTTAAAATGCCTGACGATTCTCACTTTAGTAAATAACTTGGAAAACTTTGCAAATTGATTTTCAAATTTACTACAATTATTTTTTTTTAGTGAAGAACACCCTCTGTGTAATATTGTGTATGTTGTTAGTGTGACAGCATATGTAATCTTTGAATGTGATCCTGTGTGTAATGTGTGTATCTCAACGAGTATGTTGGCAATGATAGGTTACTGGGTATGTGTGTGGGTGAGTATGAGAGTGTAACTGGGATGGGGGTATATACGTTGGTTTGAGTATAGGATTGGCGGCATAAAATGGATGAGTGAATGTAGCCGGAATGGGTTACACAGAGCTGAACTCACTTATCATTCTAACCATATAACTTTAAAGGGACACTATAGTCACCAGAACAACTACATCTTATCGTATTTGTTCTGGTGAGTATAATCATTCCCTTCAGGCTTTTTGCTGTAAACACTGTAGTTTCAGAGAAAAGGCAGTGTTTACATTACAGCCTAGGGATACCTCCACTGGCCACTCCTCAGATAGCTGCTAGAGGTGCTTCCACATTGTGCAGCACTCTCATTCAGTGTCTCCATCCTCTGCATGGAGACACTGAACTTCCCTCATAGTAATGCATTGATTCAATGTATCTCTATGAGGAGATGCTGATTGGCCAGTGCTGTGCTTGATTTGTGCTGGCTCTGCCCCTGATCTGCCTCTTTGACTGTCTCAGCCAATCCTATGGGAAAGCAGTGTGATTGGCTCAGAGAATCCCTTCTGATGATGTCAGCCAAGCAGGCAGATTAGGAACAGGGACAGCAGCTGCAGACTTTAATACAAGTAAGATTTTACTATATTTAGGGGGGCAAAAGAGGGGGGTAGAGGGGCTAGATGGTGATTTTAACACTATAGCGTCAGGATTACATGTTTGTGTTCCTGACCCTATAGTGTTCCTTTAAGCCAGACTGTTGTAGAGTGGCAGAGGTGATGATCACATGATCGATGCTTGTTCTGAACTATTTTGCACTAGCCGAGCACATTAAAACATTGTGTGGACTGACAGTTGCACGATCATCATCAACACTTCTTAATTTTTTAGCAGACGTGCAAGAGCATAAAGTCAGCATTTCAGACAGACCGTGATGCGCTAGGGTAACAGTGACTGTATGATGTGATAAAGACATTCTTTTGTGCTATGGGTGTGCTCCTTTCCGAATATAATTTATTGAAAATTTAAAGTTTAAAGTGAATTTCAAATTTAAGGTAAAAATAGCTCAACTGGAAAAATTCTCTAAGTCAGCTATAAATTTAATTTGGCTACTCTGGCCTTACATTTGAAATTAACTTTGAATTCTCACTTCAGTAAATAACCGTGTTAATATTGTGCTTACTTTGATATACAGCTCTAAAAAATAACTCTGAGAGTGACTTGTGCATTAAGTTCTCGGTCACCATAAATTAAGGAAAGTTGCCTAAAGCAAAAATATGTTGGCGTTCGCTGAGGGGGAGATTTGTTACCCAAGATGCAAAGTACTAAACAAGGTGCTATCACCATGGAAACATCAAGGATATTTTACTTGTGACTCCTCCTCTTTTATATCTTTGCACCACTTTTCAGAACATCACACTTTTATTAATCTCTCTTAATGGCTCTATATTTAGCAAGTCAATGAAAAATATCCCATTCTATGCATGCAATGGTTATTATATTTTTTGCCCCAACATGGGATTTATCATCTGTTTATGATATTTGGTCGGTTTAGTTCTACGTGAGCCTAATGGAAATCTAACATTATTGTGAAGTATGCTCTCATAAAATGTTTAATTTGCTGTATTTGGCTAATATATGCATCTATCAAAGATTGCACTAGTTTAATGTTCAGTACTGGAGTATCAAAACTTTAAAATGTCACAAGAAATAGAAACCTTGTAGCTGTTATAGAAGAGTACAAGTGCTTTATTCTCTTAATTATAATATTTGGAATTGGAGTGGATTGAGGCATCAGTTCAGTGTAAACATACGGACTCCACAGACCAAAATAAAGAGGAGACCACACTCAATGCAAATGTTACTTGAAATGCATCAGGTTTATTAAAGGGTCACCATAGGCCCCCAGACAACTTTATCTCATTGAAGTGATCTGGGATCACTGTTCCTGTCCCCTTAAGAAACTGCATGAGGACGTCCATCGTCTTAGAAAACCCAATATGTTTCATATGGGGAAGGCCTACTGCGCTCACTGCACATACGCATTATGTCCCCCCCCATCGACTCACGTCAGTGGGGTAGAAGCCCAATCCAGTGCTGAGGGACTTTGGCGCTGGAATCAGGTAAGTGAAAAAAAGTGTTATTTAATCCTTTACTTGCCACTGGGTGTGGAGGGGGAGAGGGCACCGGACCCTTTAGGAATAAAACTTTGTATTCCTAACACTAAAGTTTTCCTTTAAGTATACTTAAAAACAGTCAGTAACCATTCCAAATCAATCTACACACGCATATAAACTATTATGATGGTAAGTACACAAGGAAAATGTGCACACTCACTAAACCGCGTTCTTCCTAACACAACTTCATTTGCAGTACGAGTACACATTGAAGACACTTTAATAGATATTTAAGAGGTAGCCAGTGATATATTTCAAATACCAACATTAACTTATTAGACACGTGAGAATCTCTTGCAGCTCTAAGGAAACCCAACGACTATGCCATAAATTATTTTCGTCAATTTTTTTTGATCAATCCCACAAAAAAGCGTCACAAACTTCCGACAGCGTCATGCTTAATGTTTAGGTAAGCATTGAACGTGTCTCTGTCCCAGGGTCACTGGACTCCCTAGGTAGGCCAACCTTTTCATCACTCGGGGTAGGACACTGCTCCTTGTGTCTCTGCTGTGTCTCGTCTATGTGGGAGGGAGTGTGAAATAAAAGCTATTTTCTGATTTAAAAAAAAAGACCTTGAAGCCTAAATATCATCTGACAAAAGGATGAGGCAGGATCTGTTGCTGCCATATTATAACCCTCATCCTTTCAGTAACAAATGCTTTTGTCTGTGAATAGTGAGAGAACTGAAACCCATGGGAACTCTTTTTTTTCGGCAGGATGATTTAACCATTCTAGATCATGAGACATTTACCATTGAAATCTCAAGGGGATTTAAAGTGATCTCCAAAAACAGACTGTGTGCAATGCAGTGAGGGTTTTTGTTGTGCTGAATGGACTTGACATCCTTTAATCATAAATTGTGTTGTGTTTTCTTTAAAGGTACAACGAAAGCTTTAACCCATAGAGGGAAAAACAGAACCAGAACAAACGTTTGATAAATCAAAATGTTCTACCACCTTCATTCTTTTCATATGGTGACATTAAAATGATGTAGTCACGTGCAAAGCATTTCTGGTAATGTAGACACGTGATCTGATGGCAAAAAATATTGTCACATCATAATTAAATGGAAGGAAGTAAAGGAACACTCCAAGCATCATAATCAATACAGCTTACAATAGTGCTTATGGTGCCAGGAGTGTCCTGGCGCACTCCAAGAGTAAGTTGTGAATCCATTTTAGAATGTTTTGACAACTTACGTGGGTCCTGCCCTTTGCCGGTGGCCACAGCTGTTCATTTTAACTCTCCTGCAAGGAGTATGCAGTTAGCGTCACGGAGCTTGGCCACGCTCATTGGCTGAGAACATCAACTGAACACAGCCAATGAGTGCAGCCTTGTATTGGACCATGCTCAGGTCGAGGAAGACATCCAGCTGCTCCTGCAGTAGATAACTGGATGCAGCGCAGGCAACCAAGATACCCAGGTAAGTTGTCAAACAAAGCAGTTTGACAGATTACTCTGGGGGAGCACCAGACCACTCATGGAACCAAAACTACTACAGCAGACTGTACTGGTTATGGTGGTTCAAGTGTTCCTTTAAATACTAAAACAGGTAATGCATGCACTTTACAGTTTCACATCTGCTAAATATTGGTTATAATTCAACAGGAAACAAATACATTTGCATCACTCGTTAATATTTAGCCTTACAGTATCTCCTACCCCATATTCAGAATTTAAATCTGTTCCGTAAACCACAATATAATGAATTTTCTCCATTTTGGCTAATGTTACCTAAATTTTTAAATTAATCTTGAAATTCCAATAATTCTTAGTTTAGTGAATAATACTAATAGTGTTTGGGGATTTTTTTTTGTTCGTTTTTTAAAAAGATGTAATTAGGTGAACTTTGAGACTAAATTTAAACGTCCGCTAAAGTCCAAGGTATTCATTTCCAGATTTATATTTAATTATATATTAACTTAATTATAAAACATGAAACTACTGTTTGACAATCACAAGTTAAAATTAATTTGGTTTTCCTGGAAAATAGATAAACGAATATATATATATATATGACAGGCAATTCTGGTTGACATGATAAGTGTGTTGACCAAAGAACTTACTAATGACAATTTGGGGGGAGAGTTGACAAATTCCAACATTTATGACCAAATAGAAGAGTTGGAAGAAGCTACTTGTAGCTTTTACTTGCCTGTTCACTCCCTATTTTTTTTTTTAATTCCTGCATTTTCTAACGTTAAATAATTTGAGGTATAGAGATTTACAAAGCTCCGATGACTTAGCTGCTTTTTAAGTTTAGAACAATTGACTTTTAAGATTTTCACTGTATTGCTAAAGAAATAGCACTGCCAATGGCATAGTTAGGGCTCTTTCTTACTCAAGTACAAAGCACATTTTGTATTGATTCTTTGTCAGCAAGAAGAATCTGCAATCCACCACTTCTCTGCTTCACTTGTTACGTTTTGCTTTCCAATTCCGTCTACGTGTTATATTATACATGGCGTATGCTATACGGTTGTAGGTTTAAGGTGTGATTTGCAATTAAATAAAACTGTGCATGTGTCCAATTGAAATAAATTACGATTACTCAGTTTTACACTTGTTACAGCATCTCTTTGTTTTTGAGTATACATTCAAATAAATGTATCACCTCTCGACAACTCATATGTATGAATGGTGGGGGATGACGACAACATTTGATCTGTTAGAGCATCTAGTCTTGAAAAAAATCAAAAAAACAATCATATGTTTATGCTCTCCCCTACCTTTCTCAAAAAATGTTCCCTCCCCAGCTGAGATTGTCCCTGCTTCCACTTAAAGTGCTTTAGCGGTGTGTCGATATCACCCCTAGATGCAGTAGCTAAACTGGTGATATCAAGGCCCATCAGGCTCAAAATGTACTATTGGTTTCAGGACTGATAGCTACAATGTAGCCAGAAATTGACTGTCACGTTAAAAGCCTCTCAGTACCACTGGTGACACATGCAATAGGTTGCCATCGGTGTCCGTTTTAATTATTAACCAATATTTTATTTTAAAATGGCCTAGGATACAGCTTTGGCTGCTGTAATAGTCAAAGAAAATTAGCTTTAGATATTAAAATTGACTTAATTCTATAATGTTTAAAAAAAAAAAAAAATGAGTAATGCTATCTGTCTTTATGTTTGCAACTGACACTGCTTCTACACATAAACATAGTTAGTGAGGCCCTGGAGGCAGACATCTTGTATTTTTAAAGGACCAGTATAGGCACCCAGACCACTTCAGCTTAATGAAGTGGTCTGGGTGCCAGGACCATCTAGGATTAACCCTTTCAGCTCATTGACAGCCGCTAGAGGCGCTTCCGCGCTTCTCACTGTGATTTTCACAGTGAGAAGACACCAGCGTCCATAGGAAAGCATTTCCTATGGACTGGCTGAATGCGCGCGTGTGCGGCTCTTGCCACGCATGCGCATTCAGCTGATGACGAGGAAAGGAGGCGGAGATTCCCCACCACCGAGGGAGCCCGGCGCTGGAGAAAAGGTAAGGAATTAACCCCTTCCTCCCCCTAGAGCCCGGCGGGCGGAGGACCCTAAGGGGGACGGACGGACCTAGAGACCCTATTGTGTCAGGAAAACGAGTATGTTTTCCTGGTACTATAGTGGTCCTTTGAGCAGACCTCAACTAAAGTAAATTGAATAGAGAAACTATGGAAACATAATACTTTGTCCATCTAGCAAGAGTGTTGCATTTAGCAAAAGGCTGTAGCTATATCAGTGATATCTCCTAGCTAGTATAATATTAAACGTAACATTACCACAGAAACAACCTTAAACATAAACCAACTACAACAACATTTACCAAACATCAAAACTGATTATTGTCAATTTCTTCTATTTAAAGCAGATATCTACTATAAAACATAACATAGAAAAAACATAATAAGCAAAGTCTATACGTTTATTCACTAGCGGTTTTAAGATATTTGTAGAAAACATTTGTGTTTACAGTTTCAATATACTGTGCATATTTAATTTACGGGGGCTTTGGTAATAAAGGTAGCTCCTCAGCTGTTGCAGAATTAAAGAATGATATGTTGCCATTCTTATAATAGTTGGGGATCTGCCTTTGGAACTAACCTGACTGAATAAAAATAGTCTGCAGATCACGTGCTCTCTATCCTCTTATTAAATACATTAGACTGCATATTTTTTAATTCACATCTTAATAAAAATACATTGGTTAAAAGTGGCCCCCAAAAATGCTAAAGTTATCATAATTTTGTGAGGAAGGATATTATTAGGAAAATATATTTAATTGTACTAAACAGTTTAGTAAAATGTCTACCAAACTAGAGATTGCCATTATCACAATGAATAAGGTGTTTTTTTTTTATTTTTTATTAACAGATCCAAAATGTACATTATGGAGGACAAAAATAAAAAAATTGGTATATAAATCAAATACCACTAGTATTATTAGCATTAATCTGTATCTGCCAATCATTGAACACAAATGAATACTAAAGACACCTTGCATTGTCCCAATGCACAGAGCTAGATGGAGTTATCCAATGATATTGGCCCATATAGGCTCTCCTTCCATCCCAAGAGCTATAAATTAAATCGTTTTGGATAGATACACAGCAAGTTACATTTTCCTGTATTCCCTTTAAAGTGGAGTACAATTTTCAGATCCTGTATGTTAATATGTGTGTTATTACATTGCTCTACATAATCGGTATAGTTGTGCAAACTTTGATGGGGCAGCATCAGTGCCATTATAATGCATTCAAGCTGCTGTTACGAAAGGTGCCTTCATTTAAACTAAAAAGTCAATTTGCTAAGCACTGAAAAAGATCTCTTGTTCAACTAGGTTTACGTTTTTATTTTCCCCAAATTGGCTATTTTACTCTATATCTTGCAAATTAGTGAACGGATCCCCAGTATTGATTTAAAATTGGCCAAAATATAGACAGACAGGCATGATGGTTAAAAGACAAGTGGTTAAATTCAAAGTAAGGGGTATTTTTACTAACAGGTCTATCAGTAAACAGTAAAAGCGGGGATGTGACAACTGATTTTACCATGAAATAGCAGATTTAGCAAGAAGAAAAAATGTAAACCTCCAGTTAAGTAAAGTTGTAACATTAAAAAAAAAAATGTATACCGTATGTTATTTAGTTATTATAGACCACATTTTGCAAGCTGGTTGTTGATTTACGATAGCTCACATCCTAGTAAATAAAATACCTTAATCCTTAAGATTTTAAGTATTTAAACCACATCATTGATTCTGTTTTGATCATTTATTTAAACGATTCCATTATGACTGTATATTAAGAAATTGTAATAGATAAAAATATCTAAATAAATAATATTATGTATGTATGTATGTGTATATATATATACTTATTGAAAAGGGGTTTTGTCCTTATCTTGTACCGACTTGTCTAATTCTAAAACTCTCAAAATCTGCAATTCTTGCCTAAAATTTTTAATTCCTTTGTAAAGTCTTCCCAATTCCTGTAATAGCGAATAAATGCTTACAAACAGACGATGTACCAAAAAAAGTAAAAAAAAAGAACACATTTATTGGACTAATAGTAAGATAATGATAGTTCTTACCTATCCTGAGAGTGACTGCACTATGCAGCCTCCTTCTGTATCCCACGAGGACTGTGCTCTATATCACAGCTATGTCCCATAAACGTACCTTGCTGCATTGACGGTCTCTGTTACCTGAGCAGGTCCTTTTTGTCCTCAGAGGGGAGGAGAGCAGACACTTCAAAGCTTCATGAATATTCAGGGTCAAGATTTACCCTTTATTGGTTGCTGATAGGAGCCTGGTGTTTTTTTTGAAAGGGGGTGGAACAGTGATGAGAAAAGGGGAATAATGCAATGTAAGTAATTTAAGAAAACCGCAGCTGTCTATATTGATACAGAGATAAACAGACAAACACAAATCAGGGTTTAACATACTACCCGGTAAACAGTAATTATAGTATAAATGACTAAATATGGAGGCAGAAAATCATTTCATTATTATGATTTTTAAAAAACATTTTTAGGTATCCTTCCTCATCATAAATACTAAATATACTTTACTCGTTATTCCAGGAGTGAAATAAATAGGACGTTATGTTTCAATATATATATCAGTGTTTCTATATTCCCAGTTTTACTAAAGCATACTAATATAAAACACAAATGGTTAAATATACTTTGTGTGTGCACTCAATATATAATCTGTTTTATGTAATAAATAGATAGATAGAAACAAAAAATGGGTCGCAAGAGTATTCTGAGAATGGACAGCAGGTAAAATAGCCTGCCCTTCGGTGGGTCCCTGCTCAGAACTCAAGCTGGTTTTAGCTCATCTTGTGCCATTACAGAGAGAACATATCTGAAGCATATCAGACTGGTCCCACCCATACGGGCAGTCCAGATCCGAAATGCCAGCAAGTTCTCTCTGCACGAGAGATACAGCAACCCCAGACGATCGTTTCAGCCTTGTTAGGCATCGTCAGTGAGGCATAGCTGATATCTCTCTAGGCACCGTGAGCAAGGGGTCCACGTCTGGATTACCCTTTAAACTAATGGAGAGCAAAAAATGGGTCGCAAGAGTATTCTGAGAATGGACAGCAGCTAAAATAGCCTGCCCTTCGGTGGGTCCCCGCTCAGAACTCAAGCTGGTTTTAGCTCATCTTGTGCCATTACAGAGAGAACATATCTGAAGCATATCAGACTGGTCCCACCCATACGGGCAGTCCAGATCCGAAATGCCAGCAAGTTCTCTCTGCACGAGAGATACAGCAACCCCAGACGATCGTTTCAGCCTTGTTAGGCATCATCAGTGAGGCATAGCTGATATCTCTCTAGGCACCGTGAGCAATGATAGATAGAAACACACACACACACACACACACAAGCACAAACGTGTATACATAAAATAAAATAAATATATAGATATATATAAATAAATAAAAGCACACACAAATACACACACACACACAAACCTGTCTCGAATAATGCTATCATATCTCCTCTAAGACCCAGTTTTTCTAAACTAAGCAAATTTAAATTTGTTAACCTGTCTTCATCACTAAAATAGTCTATTTATTTGATTAATTTTGTAGCACACCTCTGCATTTTTTATATTGCCATAATGTCCTTTTTTAGAGCAGGTGCCCAAAAAAAGACAAAATTATATTTTGGTCCCGAGAATGAATGACCCTTTTTAAAATGGCCTTAGTAACTGCAGATTGACATTGCACATTGCTGCCTAGTTAATTAACTATAACAATTCCCAAACCTTCTCATGTGTTATCTCTAATTCACTACTGTTTAGTCCCGGCAGGACGGCCCAACAGGTAGATCCCCAGATGTTGTAGAACTACAACTCCCATGATGCTTTGCATGCCTTTAGAATGACAAAGGCATCGTGGGAATTGTAGTTCTACAACCTCTGGGGATCTACCTGTTGGGCAGCCCTGGTTTAGTGTGTAAGTTACTTGTGCATTCTTTACCCTGAAGTACATAACTTTGCATTTTTCTACATTAAATGTAAACTGCTGTTTGATTGCCCAGTCCCCCCCAATATATCTAAAACATTGTGTACACCGCTCTGCTCAGCATCATTGAAACACTGGGGGCAGCAGTATAGCCTATGCTTTAATGTTATCCATCATTATAAAGGGCAGTAAAATTATTCTGCACCATTTGTAATGCAGCAACATTATGGCGTCTTTAAAGGAACACTCCAGGCACCATAACAACTTCATCTAAATTAAGTAGTCATGGTGCAAGGAGGCCCCATGCACACTTTAACCTCAAGCAATTAAAACGGTCTCAAATGGTTTAACCCCAAAGTTGCCTCCAGGAAATGCGGAGTGCAGCCGGGCAAGGGCGCCGCTGATTAGCTGACAGCAGTAAGCCGACACTCATCTAATCAGTGACTCCCTATTTGCAAAACTGGCTTGGAAAGAAACGTATCTTTTCCAAGCCAGTTTTATGACTGGGGAGTCACTCTTTGGATGAGAACATCAGCTGATCACTCTAAGCCAATCAGCGGTGCTCCTGCCCGGTGGCACCTCATGCTTCCTGAAACTAAAATTTCAGAAGCTGCATGCTGCCTGGGGAGGAGGGTGGGGGGTCGAGATTGGCGCTGGAGGCAACTTTGTGGTTAAACCGTTCGAGAACAGTTTAACCTCTTTAGGTAAGTGTGCCACCTGGCACCATACCATACGGCACCATAGCAACTCCGTTTATCTGAAGTTGTTATAGTGTCTAACCTGTCCCTTTAATATATTCTCCTTTTATGTTGTATAACCTTTCATAAAGCCACCAGCAGGATATTCAGGTGAAAGGAAAGTGCCTTTGGGTTTTTCACAAGAATTCATTCAATTCTTCCCCTCCCCCCCCCTAATTCCTCCCCAAAACTGCCGGGAAGATGCCTGTTCATTTTTTAAAAAGTGTTACCTTACTACACTTGCATTAAAGATACAAGACACATTTCCTCAAGTTTTTTTGATGCATTAGACACAAAAAGTCAGTGAAACTGTGCAACAAAGGGTTGGGAGGTGAGCCACTTGCTCTTTAAGTGATGGGTACTTGAGAATCACAATGAGCATTGTTTGAAGGTGTCAAAACACACGCGCTGTTAGTATGACAGGTAAGAAGCAGGTGCATTGATGCATTGTTCAAATTCTACAATGCTGGAATTAAGACGTGTACCACTTACTACAATGCAGGGAGGACAGAAGACATCAAGGCATATAATGTTTAAATTGAAATATACAGGACATGTTCTAGCCCCACACTAATATACATGCAACACTTCCCCTGTTAGCATGGGACAGAGCCTAATCTATTACTTATGGAAGTCTAAACTTGCTAAAACACAAAACACGTGTGTTCTTTGCGTACTTGTACTTTGCTCTGGAATATGTTGGCAAAAATTAGGAAGAAATAATTAGCACATGGAGCACTTAGCATATATTTTACTTTAGAAATATAAAAGGCCAATTAGTTAACATTTCATCATCAATTTATTATAAAATTTTTATATTAAAAATATCTTAAATGATTCGGCACCCCAGATGTTTTGGACTACAACTCCCATGATGCTTTTTCTTCATTATTGGTGTAAGAGTATTATGGGGGATGTAGTCCACAACATCTGGAGTGCCGAAGGTTGCCTATCCCTGAGTTAGAGGATGCCAAGATAACACGAGCTTAGCCATTGACACTATGTTCAAGCCCCAGCTTCCTTAAGCAATAAAAGGTACAATAAAGATATACATTTAAACATTAAACTGATTTTATTCTTGATTTTCTGAAAATATAATTTTTTTAAGCTAAACTTGCAAAAAAGTAATATATACCCCCCAACTGTACATTTCAAGAAAGAGGACCTCCATAGATATAAAGATAGCTTTATATGATTGAAGATGATAAATGAGGTAGACGTACAATCAGAGGCACTCACAAAATCACATATTAACAACCACAAAAGTAACAAAATTAAATTAAACTAAATAAAATTCTTGAATATATATCCATACCATCATATTCAGCAAGTGACTTGATGGGAGCTGTATTCATTATAGATTACCTGCTATGCTCTCTGGACTAGGAGAGCTCTACCCACTGGAAGCTGGATCCCGGTCTTGGGTCCAGGGTGGGTGAAGGATGTTGAGACCCCAACTAAGCTGCGGCGGTTCGTGGGGTGTATGGTGGTTATGGTGTTCCAGTACAGTGCTTATGGTGCTCGCAAGTACTAGGAAGCAACAATAGGCAGAGGTACCTGGTCGTGGTGCCAGGTGGTCCATCACAACCACCTTCTAAGAAACTGCGCCCTCATTCCTTTTTACCATGGTGTTCCAAGCTAGACACCATGAGGATTGTGTGAGATACTTTGTGATCGATAGTAGATATTGGCCTATGTCAATAAAGCCTCAGATCACATATCGTTCTAAAGCCTTAAGGACCTTGTGAAAGCATGACAGAATAAGGATTGGTATTGAAATGCAATTCTTGTATTGGAATCTTCAAGTCTAGGTTAGATTTTTTTATTTTTCTACTTTGGAGCATACCATGGGTTATTTTTATATGTAGTGACATATAATTATATTTTGAGTCCGTCCTTATACATGCCAGACAGCTCTCCCCATCACCTTTGGGAGAGCAAATAACTACCGTTTATCCATTAGTCAGTTTGTAAACCAGGTTGGAATCAGTCACTATGTTCATCCCATAGAATAATCAAAGCTGTTAGCAGCTGAATTTTCAGTAGTAGCTGCTGGTAATTGGTAATTCCTTTTCGTTACTTGTGAAACAGACAATTAAAAAGCCATTACTTCGTAATTGTAGCAACAGGTATTTTTAGCACAGAGTTGGATTAAGGTTGGAGCTCTATCCTTGAGCTCTGAGCTCTGTTCTGTGAGTATTGTATGTATGTGGGGTTGACCGATTGCTGCTGTATGTGAAGGGATTCTGATTGTGCCTGTGTGTGGTGCCTGAATTTTGTGTTCGTAGGAGCCTGAGTGTGACTGAATGTTGTGTTTGTAGTGTCTGAGTGTGTTGGGGAAGAAAGTTATTCTTTTGACCCCCATCTGCGTTCCTTTTGGTGGTCCAGTGGAAG